CTCCTATTCCCCTCTCCTCCATGTCCTCCTCCCCTCCTCCTCCTCCTCCATGTCCTCCTCCCATGTCCCTCCCTCCTATTCTCCTCCTATTCCCCTCCCTCCTCCATGTCCTCCTCCTATTCCCCCTCCTCCTCCATGTCCTCCTCCTATTCCTCCTCCTCCTCCATGTCCTCCATGTCCTCCTCCTATTCCCCTCTATTCCTCCTCCTCCTCCATGTCCTCCTCCTATTCCTCCTCCTCCTCCTATTCCTCCTCCTCCTCCATGTCCTCCCTCCTATTCCTCCTCTTATTCCTCCTCCCCTCCTCCTATTCCTCCCTCCTCCCTCCTCCTATTCTCCTCCTCCATGTCCTCCTCCTCCTCCACATGTCCTCCTCCTATTCCTCCTCCATTCCTCCTCCATGTCCTCCCTCCTATTCCTCCTCCATCCTCCTCCCATTCCTCTATTCCTCCTCCTCCTCCTCCATGTCCTCCTCCTCCTATTCCTCCTCCTCCTCCTATTCCTCCTCCTCCTCCATGTCCTCCTCCTCTATGTCCTCCTCCATGTCCTCCTCCTCCTCCTCCTCCCTCCCCCTCCTATTCTCCTCCTCCTTCCTTCCTCCTGTCCTCCATGTCCTCCTCCCCTCCTCCCTCCTCCCATTCCTCCTCCTCCCTCCTATTCCTCCTCTCTCCCTCCATGTCCTCCCTCCTATTCCTCCTCCTATTCCTCCTCATTCCCTCCTCCTCCTCCTGTCCTCCTCCTATTCCCCCTCCTCCTCCATGTCCTCCTCCCCTCCCATTCCTCCTGTCCTCCTCCTATTCCTCCTCCTATTCCTCCCTCCATGTCCTCCCCCCTCCTATTCCTCCTCCTCCTCCTATTCCTATTCCTCCTCCTCCTCCATGTCCTCCCTCCTATTCCTCCTCCTATTCCTCCTCCTCCTCCTATTCCCCTCCTCCTCCATGTCCTCCTCCTATTCCCCCTCCTCCTCCATTCCTCCCTCCTCCTCCTCCTTTCTATTCTCCTCCTCCATGTCCTCCTCCTATTCCTCCCCTCCTCCATAGTCCCCATGTCCTCCTCCATGTCCTCCTCCTATTCCTCCTCTCCCTCCATATTCCTCCTCCTCCTCCATTCCTCTCCCTCCTCCCTCCATGTCCTCCTCCTCCTCCCCTCCCATTCCTCCTCCTCCCCATTCCTCCTCCTCCTCCTATTCCTCCTCCTCCCTCCCTCCTCCTCCATGTCCCTCCTCCTCTCCTCCATGTCCTCCTCCTATGTCCTCCTCCCCTCCTCCTCCTATTCCTCCTCCTCCTCCTCCTCCCTCCTCCTATTCTGTCCCCTCCCATATTCCTCCTCCTCCCCCTCCTCCCATGTCCTCCTCCCTCCATGTCCTCCCCCCATCCTCCTCCCATTCCCCCCTCCTCCATTCCTCCTCCCATTCCTCCCTCCCATTCCCCCCTCCTCCTCCATGTCCTCCTCCATGTCCTCCTCCTATTCCTCCTCCTCCCTCCCCTCCATTCCTCCTCCTCCTCCTCCCTCCATGTCCTCCTCCTATTCCTCCTCCATGTCCTCCTCCCTATTCCTCCTCCTCCTCCTCCTCCTCCTCCTCCCTCTCTCCATGTCCTCCTCCCCTCCCTCCTATTCCCCCTCCTCCTCCATGTCCTCCTCCCTCCTCCTCCCCTCCATGTCCTCCTCCCATATTCCTCCTCCTCCCATTCCCTCCTCCTCCTCCCATTCCCCCTCCTCCTCCATAAAGTCCTCCTCCCATTCCTCCCTCCCTCCTCCTCCTCCATGTCCTCCTCCCTATTCCTCCTCCTCCATTCCCCCTCCTCCCTCCTATTCCTCCCCTCCTCCTCCTCTATTCCTCCTCCTCCTCCTATTCCTCCTCCTATTCCTCCTCCTCCATCCATGTCCTCCTCCTATTCCTCCTCCCTCCCCATGTCCTCCTCCTCCTCCTCCTCCTATTCCTCCTCCTATTCCTCTCCATGTCCTCCTCCTATTCCTCCCTCCTATTCCTCCTCCATGTCCTCCTCCATGTCCTCCTCCCTATTCCTCCTCCTCCTCCATGTCCTCCTCCCCATTCCTCCTCCCTCCTCCATGTCCTCCTCCTATTCCTCCTCCTCCTCCTCCCTCCCTCCCTCCTATTCCTCCTCCCTCCTCCATGTCCTCCTCTATTCCTCCTCCTCCTCCATGTCCTCCTCCTCCATGTCCTCCTCCTATTCCTCCTCCTCCTCCAGCCCCTCTCCTCCATAAGCAAGTCCTCCTCCATGTCCTCCTCCTATTCCTCCTCCTCCTCCATGTCCTCCTCCATGTCTCCTCCTCCTCCTCCCATTCCTCCTCCTATTCCTCCTCCTCCTCCCTATTCCTCCCTCCTCCTCCATGTCCTCCTCCTATTCCTCCTCCTATTCCTCCTCCTCCTCCTCCTCCCATTCCTCCTCCTCCTCCATGTCCTCCTCCTATTCCTCCTCCTCCTCCTATTCCTCCTCCTCCTCCTCATTCCCTCCTCCGTCCTCCTCCTATTCCTCCTCCTATTCCTCCTCCTCCTCCATGTCCTCCTCCCTCCTCCTCCATTCCTCCTCCATGTCCTCCTCCTATTCCTCCTCCTCCTCCTATTCCTCCTCCATGTCCTCCTCCTCCCATTCTCCCTCCTCCCCCTCATGTCCCTCCCTCCTATTCCTCCTCCATGTCTCCTCCTGGCTCCTCCTCCTACTCCTATTCCTCCTCCTCCCTCCATGTCCTCCTCCTATTCCTCCTCCTCCTCCTCCCATGTCCTCCTCCATTCCTCCTCCTCCTCCATGTCCTCCCTCCTCCTCCTCCTCCATGTCCTCCTCCTCCTCCTCCTTATTCCTCCATGTCCTCCCCTATTCCTCCTCCTATTCCTCCTCCTCCTATTCCTCCTCCATGCCCCTCCTCCCCTCCTATTCCTCCCTCCTCCTATTCCTCCTCCCTCCCTCCATGTCCTCCTCCTTCCTCCTCCTCCTCCTATCCCATGTCCTCCCTCCTATTCCTCCTCCTATTCCTCCCTCCATGTCCTCCCTCCATTCTCCTCCTATTCCTCCTCCCTCCTCCTATTCCTCCTCCATGTCCTCCTCCTCCTCCTCCTATTCCTCCTCCTCCCTCCTATTCCTCCTCCTCCTCCAGTCCTCCTCCTATTCTCCTCCTCCTCCATGTCCTCCTCCTTGTCCTCCTCCTCCTTGTCCTCCTCCCTCCTTTGTCCTCCTCCTATATGTCCCCCCTCCATGTCTCCTCCTCCATGTCCTCCTCCATGTCCTCCTCCAAGTTGTCTCCTCCTCCATGTCCTCCCTCCTCCCTTGTCCTCCTCCTCCTTGTCCTCCTCCCTCCATGTCCTCCTCCCTCCTTGTCCTCCTCCCTCCTTGTCCCCTCTCCTCCTCCTGTCCTCCTCCTCCTTGTCCTGCCTCCTCCTATATCCTCCTCCTTGTCCTCCTCCTCCTTGTCCTGTCCTCCTCCTCCTTGTCCTCCTCCTCCTTGTACCTCCTCCTCCTTGTCCTCCTCCTCCTTGTCCTCCTCCTCCTTGTCCTCCTCCTCCTTGTCCTCCACCGAATCCTCCCCTTCCTCCCACTAATACAACACCTCCTCCTCCACCTTGTCCTCCAACACCGGGGTCTCCTGGAAGCCCTGATCCAACAGCAACAACATCGATGGGATCTTCATGAACCGAGACCTGGAATAGAGAGAGACAGTGATGTTAGCTACAGTCTACAGTGGTTCTATGGCTTTAGCTACAGCCTACAGTGGTTCTACGGCCTTAGCTACAGCCTACAGTGGTTCTATGGCTTTAGCTACAGCCTACAGTGGTTCTACGGCTTTAGCTACAGTCTACAGTGGTTCTACGGCTTTAGCTACAGCCTACAGTGGTTCTACGGCCTTAGCTACAGTCTACAGTGGTTCTACGGCTTTAGCTACAGCCTACAGTGGTTCTACGGCTTTAGCTACAGCCTACAGTGGTTCTACGGCTTTAGCTACAGCCTACAGTGGTTCTACGGCTTTAGCTACAGTCTACAGTGGTTCTACGGCCTTAGCTACAGCCTACAGTGGTTCTACGGCTTTAGCTACAGTCTACAGTGGTTCTACTGATTTAGCTACAGCCTACAGTGGTTCTTCGGCTTTAGCTACAGCCTACAGTGGTTCTACGGCTTTAGCTACAGCCTACAGTGGTTCTACTGCTTTAACTACAGCCTACAGTGGTTCTGCGGCTTTAGCTACAGCCTACAGTGGTTCTACGGCTTTAGCTAAAGTCTACAGTGGTTCTACGGCCTTAGCTACAGTCTACAGTGTTTCTACGGCCTCAGCTACTGCCTACAGTGGTTCTACGGCTTTAGCTACAGCCTACAGTGGTTCTACGGCTTTAGCTACAGTCTACAGTGGATCTAGGCCTTGGCTACAGCTTACAGTGGTTCTACGGCTTTAGTCTCGAGAACAGTCTAGAGATGTTGTGTTGAGATTATTGGTGAAACGCAACACCAGTGATGTGTTGCAGGTAAGAAACAATAAGCCATTAAGTGATGTAACACACAACTTGTAATCGGCTCAGACAGTGGTGTTGACGCTCTTTGATCTCGACCCAATAATCTAATGACTCCATTCAAGATTTTCTGCGAATGCAAAGGTTCATTTAATCTGGTTTAGTTGCTTTTGGGGTGTGCTGTAACCTAACCTAACCTATCCTAACTTACCTTGAAGCCTGAAGTGCCATCATCACTGTAGACGGTAGTACGGACAATACCATCAGAAGAAAGAACGCTGTAGCTGCCCTGTAGTTGGCCGTTCAACATAAACTCAACCCGCTGTACCCCCGGAACAGAAGAGGACAGGTTAGATTCAGCTTTAGGGTGTTGTTGTTGTGTTCAGATGCATTATTTATCACACTGTTTTCTGGTGGACTCTTAAACTATATCATTGTGTCCAGGAAAGTAATCAGTTGTGTTAACGTCTCGCTGAGTCACGTACAGAGGAAGTTATCGTGTGGTGGAAAGTTTACATTGTGTTGTTTGTTTGACCTGGAGTATCTTACCGAGAGAGGTGATTGACCACCGCCGCCGCCGCCTCCAGAGCCACCGCCGCCATGTCCTCCTCCATGCCCGCCACCTTGTCCTCCTCCATGCCCGCCACCTTGTCCTCCTCCATGCCCGCCACCTTGTCCTCCTCCATGCCCGCCACCTTGTCCTCCTCCATGCCGCCACCTTGTCCTCCTCCACCTTGTCCTCCTCCATGCCCGCCACCTTGTCCTCCTCCATGGCCGCCACCTTGTCCTCCTCCATGCCCGCCACCTTGTCCTCCTCCATGCCCGCCACCTTGTCCTCCTCCATGCCCGCCACCTTGTCCTCCTCCATGGCCGCCACCTAGTTCTCCATGGCCGCCACCGTGTCCTCCATGGCCGCCACCTAGTTCTCCATGGCCGCCACCATGGCCGCCACCGTGTCCTCCATGGCCTCCAACGTGTCCTCCTAGTCGTACATGGCTGCCAAGTAATCCCGCACCTGAGCCAAGAATCAACTTGCCAAAGGGTTGAGAAATAACATAGCCTGAGGTCTGGCGGGGAAGCCGGTCAGTCTCAGGCTCTTCCCCAGACGCCCATGTTACCCCCACAACCACCAGCAGTATTGCCAGCTGCGAGAGAGACGAACAGGAGATAAATATTAGTTTTGTCTCGTATGACGTAAAATACACAAAAACAAATACATCACCTAACTAAGCTCTCGAACTTCTGTCTTCATTAATAGGGAAAGATTATGTATACTTATTATAAAAAGGTAAATATTTGTTTAATGAACATAATAATATGTGTGAGGTAATATTGTTATTATTGTTCTCAGTGAAGGACGGTGCTGTACACAACCAGCCATGAGTACAGAGGGTCACTTATATATTCTTAATACTGAAATAAATCCCACACGACCTCACCCGTTTCTAATCTTAAGTTTGATCCAACAGTGACCACAGTTTGTTAATCCTGTCTACTGTATTAAAGTGTGATGGACTCTGGCTTTTTGTGGATAAATTCGACATATACAATTAATAACTATCTAAACATATATATACATTATTTATATCTAATTCAACTGAAAAAAGATATATTATCTATAAACCAGGTTAATATAACAATCATGAGAATAGCACAGCTTTCTCAGAACGACATTTTGAATCCATGTCTCAATATCTAAACCCTTGATCATCACTTTAAAAGATTACTGTAACTGGGAGGTTTTCTTAAGGCTGCGTCACACACTGAAGCACACGTGATCACTGTAGTAAGTCACAAGCACTTGAGACACTTGACACGGTATAGTAAGTACCTTCTCCCTCATGCTGCCTCGTGTTGTCCACTGTCTCTGGAGCTGTGTTGTTTCCTCTTCGGCTTCCAGAGACATACACACCGGGTAGACGGGGTACACGGCTATATATATATACTTACCTGCCGACGAGATGACCCAGTGACTCGGGTGATCAGACGGTCAAGCCCTTCTCCTCGTCACCGCTCAGGTAAATGCCGCCACAACTGACCCTCTGATGACGCGACTCCAAAACAAAAAACAATTGAATAACAAGTCCAGATCAGTGGCGTCGACCTCAGTGGGTGCCAGACGGTCGTTGTCACTCGTTGTTTGCAAGTGTTAGTGGATGACGTATTTTCCTCGTGCGTGCCGGGGAGATCACCGCAACACACTACTTGTTAATAATACATCACTTGAGTGTTGGTAATGTCGTCTTCTGAACCGAAACATTTCCCAAAGGTCAAATAAGTGGGCGGGTGGATCAGGTGGTACTGAGTGCCTCCACCTTATTTCGCGGAAGAATAAAAAACTCTTCTGCTGATTGGAAAATTTTTGCATAACTTGAGGATCATTTACACGAAATGTATATATATATATATATATATATATATATATATATATATATATATATATATATATATATATATATATATATATATATATATATATATATATATATATATATATATATATTACATTGAAGAGTTCTCATCAGTCATAAATACAGAGAATGAGCGGTCTATTCCCCTTCCCCTGCCCCCACCCCACCCACCAACCCCTCCTTCTCACCTCCTCCCCTCCTCCTCCCAGCTTTTAAACAAAAACTTACTCATGGTTTAGTTAGTTGAAGCCGCGAGACTCAGTGGTGAAGGAACAGAAGGGTGGCAAGACTCCCAGTGGTTCGCGAAAACACAAGTCTACAGGGAAAAAAAATACATCGACTATACACTTTCACTTCGTTTTAAAGTTCATGATGTATGTTGTATGCTTACTGCCTGGGTGCTGTTGCTGGTGCCTGACCCCCACCTCAGGGTCCATCATGCCCGCCCGCCCGCCCGTATACTGCCCCGTCCCTCACCACACCCACCCCACCACTCTGCACACCTACCCCACCACACCTGCACCGTCCCTCACCACACCTACCCCACCACTCACTACACCTGCACCCCTCACCACACCTACCACCACACCTGCCCCCCTCCCACCACCCCACCACCACCACACCTGCACCGTCCTCACCACCCACCCCACCACTCACCTGCCCCTGTCCTCACCACACCAACCCCACCACTCACACACCTGCACACCTCACCACACCACACCTTCACCAACCCCATCCCCACCCTCCCTCCCCCACCCCAAAACTTCTATCAATCCCACCCCTACTCAGTACCTTTCCGGTTCCTCATCAATACCGGTCCTGCCACTGACACCCAAATTTCACCCTCCTACGCGTCATCCCCCTCCTTCCCCCCTCCCACGCCAACTACTACACCATCGCAGAATATCATAATCACGGGCCGTGTACCCTAACCAGATGTGCGTGTGTATGTGTGTGTGTGTAAGTAAGTGTATGTGTGTATATATGTGTATGTACAGGTATGTGTGTCCTGCCATTACCACACAAGCACAAAACATACTGACTGCTCAAGCAAAAGTGAACCAACTCCCCAAAAGGTCACAGGTCTTAAACTGGTTCACTTTTCTTCTCTTTCACTGAACCTTAGCTGCGTTAAGTGGAAAAGATGAGAGCTACTTTTTGTCACTTGTACCGTGGAGGGTGTTGACTCTTAACACCCCAGTGGACTTGATCCAACTGTGTTATTACGGAAGTGTGATATTCCGTAAAGGTACCGTAGCTGGTGCACTCAGTTACCTAAGTCATAGTCATGTACAGTCCTTTATGTAGCGTATCGAAGGAAGTTGATATTAACCTAACCAAACTAAACCTAACTTAAAATGTACTAAATTAACCTAATCTAACCTAACTTCAACATACCATTACAACCCAACACACTGTATTTGAGTCTCTTCCACCTGTCATCCACCTGTCACACACACACACACACACCTGTCTATAGTTGTTAATTTAGTGGGTGTCAGTGTCTCGGGTACAGATGGTCTAGTTTAATGGTTTAGAAAGTTGTTAGAAGTGTTTGTTTTTGCGTCATGTGTAAAAATACTTTCCAGGTGAGCCAATTTTTTTTTTTTTGGTCTCCTTAAGGAATTTATATCGAGTTGCTTGAGACCTTAACACTGTCAGAGAAGTCTTTAATGTTTACACCTGTTATGTGTCTAGGTTAGTATACATAGCGAAGATCCTGGCAATAATATGGAGAACATACACACATTCATAAATACATACATACATACATCATACATACACACATACATACATATACATAAATACATACATACATACACGTTTCGGAGTACAACACAAGACAGTCAGGGTTGGAATGTTATAAAATCAATAGTGTAACTGAAATATCCAGTGTTGCTAGTACAATTTATTTACAATCATATGCATTCTGATCAGGTTAGGTTAGGTTAGGTTAGGTCAATCACAGAAGGCAGGCATTGAGCTGACTAACGCTATCAATCACATCCAAGAAGAATCTGTTGTAACTTATTGAAGTGTCTCCTCGAGTCTGAATCACCACTAAAGTATAGCCAATAAAATACTTCAAAGTTCAATGTCACAACTCAGGGACGAAAACGTAAATAATTGAGAAAAAATTCTCGAAAACAGATTTTTTTTTATATAAGCAAAAGTTTTGTTCAGTAATGAAGAAAAATTATTTACTTGTGCATCAGGCATAAATATATAACTAAAGCTACTTCTAACAATCTATATAACCCTAACTATATAAAACTGGGAATATATTATTTTTCACTATAAGAAAGTACCTCGGGAATGAATAGTTTTATTAACATGTAGACGCATCTTATATACGACTTGAGGAACGAGTTTTATGGTGAAGAGATGAAGTATTTTGTGTTCAGGAGTGTGCGAGTTATTTGAGGTGAGTAATGTACTGTGGGACTCTTCTTCCTCTTCTTCTTCTTCCTCTTCCTATTCTTCTTACTCTTCGTCTACCTCTTCCTCATACCCTTCCTCTTCCTTCTCTTGCTTTTCATTTTCATTCTCCTCCTCCTCTCCATCTTTCTTTTATTCTTCCTCTTTCTCCTCATCCTTTCCTTCCCCCTTCAGCTCCCCACCCTTCTCCTCCAGACCTCTCCTCCTCCGTCTCCTCCTGCACTTCCTGCCGGGATGTATTCAATGAGGGGTGTCGAGGCCCTCATACACCGCACCAGAAAAATTATTTTATCCTCGACAAAACTTTCCCTTGAAAACCTCACCAGAAATTCAATAATAACGTTAATATTTTGGTTCACTATGACTCGGTATTGAGGCGACTTTCATTTATTTTCGGGGGGGTAACTAAAGATTTGTTTCATCAAGGTCTGTCATAGTGATTGATTTTCTAAAGACTGTGTCATCTCCTTTGTTGATGTTGGTGGCGTCTGTGTTGCCATCCTGTTTATTCCTGTGCTCGGGGGTGTTGCTTCTGCCGCCCTTCAGTGTCTCAGAGTCCACCTCTGTAGTGACTGTAAACTGTGGGTCAGGTATAAAGGCTCCCTCGGTTTCATTATCTTTATCATTTATATTATCTTTCATATCTTTATCATCCGTTCCATTCTTATCGCCTGTTCCCGCTGTGTAGTGTCTCGGCGTTACTTTACTCGTGTTCTCGTGGGTAGACAGGTTCCCTTCAGTCAGTTTTCGTCGTGTTTGGGGCGCCCCGAGAACACCTGTCGTGGAGACCTGACGTAGAGGACGAAGACCAAACTTCATGGCTGCTATTTTAGTGACACCAACGTCGTATATTGTTCTCAAGGTGTCGTACCTTAGTGTGTGGGTGGTTACCTCTCGTCCTCTTCTCGCTGGTCCTCCTGCAGCTGGTCTTCCTCTCTCTGGTCTTCCTCCCGCTGGTCTTCCTCCCGCTGGTCCTCCTCTCTCTGGTCTTCCTCCCGCTGGTCCTCCTCTCTCTGGTCTTCCTCCCGCTGCTCCTTCTCTCTCTAGTCTTCCTTCCGCTGGTCCTCCTCTCTCTGGTCCTCCTCCCGCTGCTGTTCCTCCTCCTCCCGCTGAACGCCCCCCCGCTGCTTCGTATTCTAGTGTGGAACTCGGGTTGAAAATATTTGTAGTGAAGGAGGGAGCTTCTGAGAGCGAGGAATTCTGTATAAAACTCTGGTCATTCACCTCGATCGTCCCCGTTGACATAGTGCTTGTTTGGGATGATAAGGAGTGTTCATCGTGCTCAAAAGGCTTCACAAAACATCTTTTCGTTCCCTCAGTTACTTCCTCTTGCAGCTGGTCCATTACATTCATTCTTTCTTTGTTCCGGGCAATTCTGATGCATTCTTTCAATACTGACGAAGGGGTAGTGATGCGGGTGTTAGCGGCATCTTCCTCGCCTACGTCGCCCTTCTTATAAAGTGTGGAGTACCTCGACCCCGACACGTCTCCCCTAAAACTGTTCCTGGACATATATTCCTGGATGAGAGTTCTGCAACCCCCGGCAGCGTAGGCGGACGACGAGGAATAATACAGACCTGAGCCTCTTCTTCGATCTGTTGGACTTACTGGCCGCCGGATGTGCTTAAACTGTAGAGAACAAACCGAGATACTCATATCACTCTCCAGAGGACCACTACCCAGCGCCTTTACCTTCGAGGATGATTCGTTGAGTGTTGTGTTGTTGTCTTCGAAACTTGTTTTTGAGTCACTGAGACTCTTTTCTTCCCCGGGAGTTACGTCCGTCTTCCCTGTAGAGTCATCCCCGTGGTGAGAGGAGTCATTTACATTCCTGTTCTCTTCTGTTTTTTTCATGTCATTGTCAGTGTTTTCTTTCGTCTGTAAAGTTTTCTTTACACAGCCGGGAGCCAGCCCGCGGGTCTCGTCTTGACCTCCAGAGTAATTAGAGTCTGTTGTGTCGGAGTTGTTGCCGTTGACTTTACTAACATCCACCAGAGACACGAGCGAGCAGTGGGAGCATGACGACACCAGGGACCCGGAGGATTGCGAGAACATGGTGTTCACTTCCCTCCGGCGAGTCTGTACGTGTGGCATGACCATCAGCTGTGAGGGCCCTGCTCCCTGACCCAGTTTATTCAGCACCTTATGGCCTTGCTCGGAGGCTTTGGGTGCTAACTGGGTGTCCAGATTTCGATCAAGACTTTTAAATTTATCGTCATCGTCGAGGCCAACTTCAGAAACGCTTCTGCTAACGATAAGGCCATCAACCTCCACCCAGTAGGGGCTTCTGCCGTAGCCGAAGTCGCAGTTCTTGAGTACGTCTCCACGGTAGCACAGCCCAACGACCTCTGCCTCGTCCACCACGTCGGGGAGGGTAGTACCAGCAGTCTCTGGCAGAAGCAGTGCCAGTAATGCCGCCACCAAGCATCCCGCTGCTGCCGCCAGCCAGGGCACCGACGGGTAGGTCAGCTCAGCCTGTTTCCAGAGAGAACACGGAGGTAAAATACCAAACAGAAGAGACACAGTGTAAAAAGTGGACAAGAGGCTGAACAATGATTATCATATTATCACCATGACTTAAACAGCAGTTCCTGCCCTGACACTATAAGCTCCGACACCTTCACGTACCACGATAGCCAACAAAGGGGTCAGTATTTCTCCCACGGCAGCGTGGGCGGCACACAGTCCCACAGCGGAGGCTCGTGCTGTGGTAGGCACCACCTCCACGCTCACCACACTCACGCCAACCCTCGCCCCACCTACGATCAGCACGCCTACGAACCTGAGGGCTGTGGTGAGGGCGTCCACGTTCACCCAAGTCTCTGTCAAGATGGAGGCATTAGTCAGAAGGGAACAAAACAGAACTATGAGACAGAACGACTTAAATCTGGAAAATCCTCAAGAGTATTCTGACAAGTGTGTTGAGAATGTATTAGCAGACTTAGTCAATCATTATATAATACAATACTACTGAAGGAAACCTTGATACGATGTCCAACAAAGGTAAAATATTGCTCACCTTTGACCAGCTGTAAGACACAGATGACAGCCAGGGTGAGAGCAGCTGTGAGGAGGAGGTTGAGGACGAGGAAGGCCCTGCGGTATAGGTGTGAGGTGAGGACGGCCGCCAACACCACTGCCCCGGCCTCCACCCCCGCCCCCAGCAGCGACCCCAGGTGACCAGGACCCCCCAGCAGGCTCACCAGCTGTCCAGGACCATCTAGCCCCGCCAACTCACTCCGGAACCCACTGTCTGCCAGCGACACTGCCAACCTGAAGGTGATCACTGACAACAAATCTACTTCTGAAGGGACGCCACTAACCTAACCTAACCTTCAAGAGAGCGATAGGGTGTTTAATAATCAGGTAAAATAAGTTGTGGTTCCTATTCTTCAGGTAATACAAAAGTAACTGCTACATGGATGGAACAGGAAGAGTCGTATATTATTTCATCTCTCTCGAAGCTGCTACGAGAGAAGTAATTTTAACTTTGGTAGAGGAAAAGAATTGTGTCATTAATCTTCGCTACCAAAGTCTTTATAACTTATGATAGTGTGGAAGTGGGGTTGGGTGAGGGGTGTGGGGAGAGGCGTATGGTGAGGGGTGGGGTAGCGGGTGAAGAGTGAGGTGTTATCTAAAGTAGCAGTACTCGAGGTCTTTCTGTACACAACACATCTTACCACATGAACACAACAATCAAGGTGTTTTTTTCCTCAGCCGCGGAGTTTTGAAGAGCGTCAGGAGACTACCCCAGGGGACGTCCAGGTACACGTGGGCGGCCAAGTGGTCCATTTGGGCGTGAGCAGTGGGCGGGAGGGTGAGGAGATTGTGTCGAGCCACCTGGGCGGCCACCTGTCTGGCTCGGCGAGTCTTGCCTCTCGTGAGTAACCATCTGAGGGACTCTGGGATCATCCTGTAGAAGGGAAGTGAGAGAGCTTGGGCGTGACAAACAAGTATACAGACCAACAGAAGCAGACAAACAGACAGACAACAGAGGCAGACAAACAGGATGTTTTGATTTGTAAAACAGGGCAACAAAAATATCATCACCACTCGTCCAGGGGTTCAGTGTACACAACGTAAAGAAAAACAAATGTTGAAGAGTTTGTCAATGTCGCTTTACATATCACCTGACACAAGCTCTCCCACACACCTGTGCCATCCTCCCACCCCGTGCCTCCCATCCCTCCCCACCTGTGCCTCCCATCCTCCTACCTGTGCCTCCCATCCTCCCCCTGCCCCATCCTCCCACCTGTACCTCCCATCCTCCCACCTCCCACCCGTGCCTCCCATCCTCCCACCCTGCCTCCCATCCTCCTGCCTCCCACCTGTGCCTCCCATCCTCCACCCGTGCCTCCCATCCCCACCCGTGCCTCCACCTGTGCCTCCCACCTGTGCCTCTCCATCCTCCCATCCTCCCCGTGCCTGCCTCCCATCCTCCTCGTGCCTGCCTCCCATCCTCCCACCCGTGCTCCCATCCTCCCACCTGTGCCTCCCATCCTCCCACCTGTGCCTCCCATCCTCCCACCTCCCTCCCATCCTCCTACCCGTCCCCATGTCACCCGTGCCTCCCATCCTCCCCACCTGTGCCTCCCACCTGTGCCTCCTCCTCCCACCTGTGCCTCCCATCCTCCCACCTGTGCCTCCCATCCTCCTCCCATCCTCCCCATCCTCCCCACCCGTGCCTCCCCATCCTCCCACCTGTGCCTCCCATCCTCCTACCTGTCCCATCCTCCCACCTGTGCCTCCCATCCTCCTACCCTGTGCCTCCCATCCTCCCACCTGTGCCTCCCCATCCTCCCACCGTGCTCTCCCATCCTCCCACCTGTGCCTCCCATCCTCCTACCTGTGCCTCCCATCCTCCCACCTGTGCCTCCCATCCTCATCCTCCCACCTGCCTCCCACCCTGTGTCCTCCCATCCTCCCACCTGTGCCTCCCATCCCCTCCCACCCGTGCCTCCCATCCTCCCACCCCTCCCACCCACCCGTGCCTCCCATCCTCCCCACCCGTGCCTCCCACCTCCCCCTCCCATCCTGTGCCCCCATCCTCCCACCTGTGCCCTCCCCACCCGTGCCTCCCATCCTCCCACCCGTACCCGTGCCTCCCATCCTCCCCACCCGTGCCTCCCCCTCCCCTGCCCCATCCCCACCGTGCCTCCCATCCTCCCACCTGTGCCTCCCCATCCTCCCACCCTGTGCCTCCCATCCCACCCGTGCCTCCCTCCCACCTGTGCCTCCCACCTGCCTGTGCCCATCCTCCCCATCCCACCCGTGCCTCCCATCCTCCCACCGTGCCTCCCATCCTCCCCATGCCCTCCCATCCTGTGCCTCCCCACCCGTGCCTCCCACCTGTCCCTGCCTCCCATCCTCCCACCTGTGCCTGCCTCCCATCCTCCCACCTGTGCCTCCCATCCTCCCACCGTGCCTCCCATCCTCCCACCCGCCTCCCCCCTCCCATCCTGTGCCTCCCATGCCTCCCACCCATGCTCCCATCCTCCCACCTGTGCCTCCCATCCTCCTACCCGTGCCTCCCATCCTCCCACCCGTGCCTCCCATCCTCCCACCCCTCCCATCCTCCTACCCAGCCTCCCATCCTCCCACCTGTGCATCTCCCATCCTCCCACCCATCCTCCCACCCGTGCCTCCCATCCTCCCACCCGTGCCTCCCATCCTCCCACCTGTGCCTCCCCTCCTCCCTACCCGTGCCTGCCTCCCATCCTGCCTCCATCCTCCCACCTGTGCCTCCCATCCTCCTACCTGTGCCTCCCATCCTCCCCACCGTGCCTCCCTCCCCGTGTGCCTCCCATCCTCCCACCCATGCCTCCCATCCTCCCTCCTGTCCCACCTGTGCCTCCCATCCTCCCACCCGTGCCTCCCATCCTCCTACCTGTGCCTCCCATCCCACCCTCCCCCACCCGTGCCTCCCACCTGTGCCTCCCCCTCCCTCCCACCTGTGCCTCCCATCCTCCCACCCGTGCCTCCCATCCTCCCCACCTGTGCCCTCCCATCCTGCCTCCCAGCCTGTGCCTCCCATCCTCCTCCCACCTGTGCCTCCCATCCTCCCACCTGTCCTCCCACCCGTACCCCTCCCATCCTCCCATCCCTCCCACCGTGCCTCCCATCCTCCCACCGTGCCTCCCATCCTCCCACCTGTGCCTCCCCCACCTGTGCTCCTCCCACCCTCCCATCCCCACCTCCACCCGTGCCTCCCATCCTCCCACCCGTGCCTCCCATCCTCCTACCCGTGCCTCCCATCCTCCCACCCGTGCCTCCCATCCTCATCCCAGGTAGAGAGATGGAGGAATACGATTGGTCAGACATTAGGTCATTAAGGCATTACCTTCAGTTACTTCGTGGACTCATCATCAAGCGATTCGGATTCAAACTAGAGTTGATTGGTGGAGGAGACTTTTGTGCACGATATTACTCTTGGGATTACTATGTGTTAGACCCTGTTAGTGAAATGAGCGCCTAAACCTAACATAACCTCACCTAACCTAACCTAAACCTAACATAACCTCACCTAACCTAACCTAAACCTAACATAACCTAACCTCCATGACTCGACAGGTAATACTGGCTAGTATAAACTTACCTGTCCTTTACGCTACAACTAGGTCACTAGAACTGTACCTGTAGGTGTCAGTCAGGTCAAAAATACCTACAGGTTACAACTGGTTTCTATTCAGGTTAATCCCAGGTCAGTTGTACACCTCTAGGTCACACTCAGGTCCATTGAACTATGCCTACAGGTGCCAGGTCATCATGATTTACAGTTTACTCGTCAATCAAGTTGTTTTTACATGTGTTGACGACAGTATAAGTGAGGTGATTGGGGGCGTGTTCATATTATTGATGGAGGTGTGAGGGAACACGGGTCAGGGGAGGTGTGTGCGTGTGTGTTTTAAGTTAACTCTATAATGTGTGTTTATGGTGGCGTCAATAGGCGAGTGAGTGAGTGGTAGACTGTCTGGTAGATTAACTGGTAGACTGACTGGTAGATTAACTGGTAGACTAACTGGTAAACAAAGTGGTTAAGTGTTCTGATTAAAACTCCCTTATCAGAGGCCCCACAAATATATAAATATAATATAAATAATTCGGTCTCTCTCCTACATAAAGACCAAACCCTAACGCTGGTGATCTTTATAAGTGACCTGTGCTGGAGGACGACAATGACCAAGAGACCGGTGATAAGATAAAATCACTCAATAACAAGTTTTACCAGACCATGACAGAAGGCAGTGAGTCACCTGGAAGGTGCCGTGTGTCGACCTCGCGAGAGTCACAAACAAAGAGTGTGTGTTTTGTGGGTCTGGTGCGGCCCCAGACCTAATAATACCCGGACCTTATATGCCTCAACCTAACCGGTAGGATTGAGGGCCGATAGAGGGAGTTGGTCTTTACGATTGGGTCCTTTTGCGACAGTTGGTTGGATTGGGGTCTATAAGGACTGGGCCTACTGGGATAAGTGCCTATAAGGAGTGGGCCTACTGGGATAAGTGCCTATAAGGACTGGGCCTATTGGGATAAGTGCCTATAAGGACTGGGCCTATTGGGATAAGGGCCTACAAGGAGTGGGCCTACTGGGATACGTGCTTACAAGGAGTGGGGCCTATTAGGTGTTAGGTTCTATCAGCACAAGAGCTCATTTGACCCATCGCCGGCAATAGCCAACTAATCCATTCTCTGAGAAAAAAAATCGACGGTATTTGGGTGTCTAGGAGCAGCTCACATGACCCCAACGCGTTGATTTAATTCTGCCATCTCACTTCTGATAAGGTTCACCACACCTGGGTCACACAGCCTCAAACTAGTATTAATTACAATTTATTTTTTACGAGAACCTGTGTTAATCATCGCCGGCGTCATAAGGTTTACCATCGTCTCTTTCTACTCTTTTCCCGTTTTTGTTATGTTTTCTGTGTTGTCGATTGTGATACCGTATTAACATTTGACTTAGTCGATGCTTAACTTTTTATTACACCCCATTTAATCGGCCGGGGGTTTGTTGAGGCTTATAGCACCAGTATACTGTTCTCTTATAATATAAAATGTTCAGTCGGTCCACAGACTCACCAACAGTAGAGGAGAGATATGAGCAGAGGGAGAGAGACAGCCAATTGGACGGCTCTCCAGTGCTGGACCATGAGGGCCACTAGAGCCCCCATGGCCACACCCAGAGGTCTGGCCATGCCCCCCGCCACTAGGGCCCGACAGCGCCACTTGGGAGGGAAGAGCTCCGCCGCCAAGGTCCAGCTGGTGACGTGAACACCCTGGAGGATCAGAGACAGGAACAACGTAAACAATGATATAGTGAACTTATATGAAGGGCGAAACATTGGGATTTATATAAATAACACAACATATTGATTCAATTAACACGTGGATCCTGGAGACCAAACTTGGGTATTTACATAATATATGGATGTAAAGGTTTATTAGTGACGAAACATCTGGATTTACGCGATACTTTGCGGGGAGAGAGAGAGAGAGAGAGAGTATTAGACATTGTTATTGGAAGATACAGCAACAGGATGGAGGATTATAAGAACTAAGTGGAATGGCTTCTGTTTCTATCGCACCAATGTTCATCGTCAGGACATCCTGGTCTAGAAAAAAAAAACTGTCGCAAACAATAACACCTTCGGCAGCACCTGCGTCAGGAACAATACCAGACGGCTCCTGATGGCGGCTGACAGGTCTCCCCTAGCAACCAGGAAATAACAGATGCAGACGACATTCTTCATCACAGTCAGAGGAAAATAACCCGCATATATTTTCTCAGAGACTAAGTGTATCGTGGTAGGAAGGCGCCTCACACCATCCCATGTTACCTTCCCTCTAAAAAAAAGCCTGGTCTCGTTGGGGGAGGGAGAGACACACACACACAGGTACTCACAATCTATGCTGGAATTCCTAAAGAAGACGAAATAGAGAGAGGAAACGCGGAGAGTATTTCCCGGCGGTGTTGAATATCACCTTTGGGAACTAGAATCTGCAATGTTTTGATTCGGTCGACACAGGCACTAGAGTTTCCGAGTCTCTTTCCCTCTGCAGTGAGCTGGTGGGTACGTACATAACTTCACAGTGAGGCAAGATTTTGTTGTTGTATTTTCTTAACCATTTTCCTAAACCTTTAAGCTTCTCTTACACGACTTTACCCTCTCATGTCTGTCGTTCATTTTGGAGTTTTTTTCTTCATTTTATAGACTCTTAAAAATAAATGAGAGAAAAGTAAAAACAATCGACAAAGATAAAAGGAATTTTCTTTTATATACTCAGATAAGAGAAGGTGGTACGGTGGATGGCTCTCAGGGGTTACGAGCTTAAAGTCCACGCTCCATTCTGCGAGTCAAAGTGTCCTCGAATTTTCCAGCAACAGTTTAGTTTAGATTTTGTCAACATTTAAGTGAATATCATTTGGTCTTTCCAGCGTCCATAAGTTCACCAGGGACTTTTGGTCGAGTAGTCTAGACTCTGATTCTCAAAGACTTCTTGGACACCTCGACTAGTTTTAGTCATTGGTCAACTTACTGTCCAGGTGTTGGCAGGTAGTGTGGCTATATAGATTTGTGTATTAATCAACATATAAACAAACTCACGTCACTGTGTGTATGTACTGTATGTATGTCCATCAGATATATTACATAACACAAAGACATCCCCAATACATTATTACCGAAGTGAAGGAAAGGAATTCAATAATGAACTTTTTTGTGGATCAAAATTGGGGACGTGAGGAGGCCGAGTGGGAACAACACTAACTTTATGACTTCAGGGACTCTCGTTCGATCCCGGGGTAATCTTGTTTATGGAGGCCAATTTTTGTCAGGTTTTCTCTTAATACATTCGGCATTTTCCTCGTGTCATTCACCCTTACCATTCCTCCTCTCATAAGCGTTTGTGTCTTTCCGTGAACCTCGTGAGAAATACTGGAGAAAGGTTACCTGTAATGCAATTAATTAAGGTCAAGGTCGTAGCTTGGATGATGTTGAAGGATGATACTCCCCTCGATGAAGATGAGTTAGAACGATACTCACCTGGACAAGAATGATTTAAGCCGCAGCAGGCGACTACCACTTACCTGAACGAAGATGGCTTGGATGAAACGAAGACTCAGGAACACTATAAGCCTCCTAACGAAGTGGAGAGCGAGACCCAAACACCCTACAGTCGCCACACTCACCACCAGCAGGTTCCTCCGCCCGAATCTGTGTAAATAACTCTTGCTGTGACACGTTCAGCTTCCACTCACATTATATAAACACAAGTCGATAACATAAACTGGATCAAAGTCTCCTGCTAAATCATGTTTGTATTGGTAATCTTAGAATAATGTTTTATGATATCAAAATTCATGAGTTCCTTCATGTATGTATAAGAATAGAAGAAAACTTACAGTATAATGGTCATACATAGTTCATAGAAATCCTAACCTAACCTAACACAAAAAAAAAATACATAGGAAAAATACGTCACCTGTCTGCCAGGAAGCCGAAAATTAATCCACCAATCACGAGGCCGATGAGATATGACGTCATCACCCAGTGCCTGATCCATACACGTTCACACACGAGTCCCCACTGTGAGGGGAGAGAGAGTTTTGTTGAAAGTGACAATTAGATTATAAGACAAGAAAAGTGTAGTTAAGAGTTTAATGGTAAAAATATTATAATGAGACAACTTACCACACACACACACACACCATAAATCAGTAGTTTAAAAGTCGTAAAAATGCCACTTTTGTTATGTGTGTGTGTGTGTGTGTGTGTGTTAGACATAAAAATAGTGAACTAATCCATTGAGTAAGAAATGCTAACCTTTGACCGAGAAAAAAATATAATATCCCGGGTCTTTCTGTATAATAGTGCTAGAAAGGTTTATTATTGGTTATAAACTGATCTAAAAAAAAAAAAACTGCGTAAAAATGATTGAATCTTCCGCTGTTAATCTTTCTGGCATAGATGGAGGAAACTGCTTCATCATGTACTAAATATTTACCCGTTTTGGTTCTCTCGTTTTCAGTTCCCGTCACCCAAAAACTCCCAGAAAAACTTGCTTTAATGGACAACAATCATGATCACACATTCCCCGACTCTACCTTCTACCGGAGCTGACGAGTGTTGATAACTTTCACTCACTCCTGGGGGCCAGATAACACGAACCCCAATTAAAGTAGAACGTTTTACCTTCTCTTGATTTAAATTCCCTGCTTAGTCATCTTATAAACACAAAAACATTCATACCGATGCATAGATAAATTACTTTCCATTATAGCGTTTGGAGATAGTAATAATTAAGTCAGCGTTACGGAAGAAAACGTAGATACAAAACAAACACCCTCTAGCGGAACACCTTAAAAATGAACTCATCGTCCTGTAGGTGGAGCAGCAGCAGAAGTTAGTGTGCAGGTTTATCAGTTCATCTCTTTCCACATACTGCACTTTATTTTAGGTCATAAAGGCAAGACCAGATAAGGTTGAGTGTTTCGGTGGTTAGTGTGAGTGAATAATTCGAGTTAAAGAGACTAGTCAACTAACCTAACCGACCCCTCCCCCCCCCAAGGTAATGTCAAAATGTTTAATTAATTATCAGGTGACATAAGCTAGCAGGATTTTCTCTTCAGGTGATCTCAATTATACCATACGTCATTCACTCAAAACATGTTTACTGTGTTCTGAAACTTCTCGGTTAAAATATCAGGTTCAAGTTCCCTAGCGAGTGGTTCTGTGGACTTCAACTCTTGTCTCTCTTGTGTCAAATAAAAACAAGTAATACTGTAGTAAAATAAACTTGGTAAAAATACTTGATCCTTTGCGTATTGCTCAGTCATAGAGGCCAGCAGTTCTTAATGTATGTACAATACAGTCGGGGGCATGACTTAGCTCGCCTTGGTGAAACAGTACTGAATGGGTTAAGTTATAGTACTGAAAGGGTTAAGTTATAGTACTAAAGGGGTTAAGTTATAGTTCTAAAGGGGTTAAGTTATAGTACTGAAGGGGTTAAGCTATAGTATCTAAAGGGTTAAATTACTCACGGGAATAAGCCTCAGAACTAATTTACCCTGACAGCCATTTAGTGCGGGTGTCAATACTACTTCAGTTTGGGAGGGAACGAACTCCTAACCTCGACTGTGCGAACGAGAGCCTAAGGAGATCTATACATTTCGTTGTTTCACATATTATGGACAGATGCTTCTCTCTCTGGAGGTCTTGTGGAAAGTTACACAATATGAACTCTTAACATGAACAGCACTCTTAATGTTGCTGCCCTCTTGTGTTTCTCGAGTAAAAAGTCGATGGGGATGATTCAGCTCGGTTTTGGACCGGTTTGACTATAAATTTTGCACTGTAAAAGTTCATAGTTTGGTTCTGGGTTAGGTTAGGTTAGGTGTTGAAGGGGTCATGGATAGACACACAGAATAACATGGTTAATTCTACCCTCTAGACTCTACCAAGAACCACAACTCAGACAAAATGTTTCCCTCTCGCCACACTGTTCCTCACCTCGGTAGAAAGCCTGTGTGTTTGGTCCTCCTGGGCGACACGGGTAATGATAAAATCCCCCTCTTCCGGGCTAACTTGTAACTGCTTTACTAGATATTGTCTGGATAGTGTTTGTGCTCTGAGAACTATTGACCTCCTCCTCCTCTCGTCTTTCTTCAACACATGTTAGGTTATGTTCTTCATGGAGAAACAGACACTGACGTTTCATTAACCAAAGAGTATATATTTGGTCTGCGGTGGACGACTGGAGTCAGGACTTACCTCTTATACAATTAATACTCGGCCTCGCTCTCAGGATAAACACCAACCCACCCACCTCCCTCTATAGTTGGGGAAAATAACACTATCGAGTGCAGTATCGGCCACATTGTCTCCTTATGTTTCAAAAAAGAGCTTCGTTAACAGTATGGTTTATAAAAGTGATTATATATCGTAGTTAGCCCCCAGACCCCCAGCATATAAGGTGGGGACGAGACCCAGCAGGCAGGGAAGGAGGTTGTTATTGTTGACAGTGTACACAGTCTCTCACTGTCAGGTTGAAGCCCCGGGATAAGCTCAACCAACTGGGCTTAACCGCGGTCTCCATCACCTGACTCACCTCACGTATGGGATCTCTCATTTTATCGTGTTAAGTTTCTCAACAAGATTATGATTATAACCTAACCTAACCCATCCAATTCTAACCTAACTTATCCTAACCTAAGCCAACCTAACCTAACCACGGCAATAAACTCTCTAAATAGGGATTCCAAACGTAATTAACTCTTCAAGTGACTGTATAGTTTACCGCCGTTCCAGAATTTGACGAAGTTAAGAGAGAGAGAGAGAGAGAGAGAGACTCGCTCCGTCTTGTGGCATTTAACTACACATTACCAAGCTTACCCCAGAACAGGTCCAAGACATATTTCGACAATTTTCTTCTTTTTTTTTAAACTCCCAGCCAACATTAGCCTATATTTAGTCGGTATTGAACTATAGGTAAAAGGCCTGTGTTGCTATAACCTATTGGGTAATGTAAACGTAAGAATGAGTTTGCATCATATCACAATCATTGTGTAAGGTCACTGTGTACGTATCATGACCTTAGGAACAGTGAAACATTAACAGTGACTTAGATTATAACAGACAAGCATTTAGGGGATCAATATAGCAGTGACCTATCATACAGTGAAACCATAGCAGTGAACTGAACATTTGCACTACATCATTGAAGACTAATCAATGTAACATTCAATTGAGATGATAGATTAAACACCATTGCAGCGCTGAGATACGTAGGAGCATTGAGTATATCACAGCTTTCAAGTATATTAATAACACGAGTCGGGGTTCATAGTTATCACTGTAGGAAATTGGATGTAGTATAAACATCGTCTGTAGTATCAGTTACCATTATAACAGAGGAATATAATTATCAGTATCAAATCTTGTTTACAATATAATAAATTTTATCTTTATTGGTGTTAATTGTGAAAAAAATCAAGTTTAGAATTTTAATATATAGTTTTTACTCAATTTTAGTATTTTCATCATTAAATTCTACGAGTATTTACAGAGAATTTGGGAATACTCTGACACACATCGAGAAAGTGTGTTACCGAAGCAAGACGACCATGTAACAATGAATCTAACCGGTTAATGAAAGATCCAGTTCTACTCTGAACAACTTTCCTCCATTCGTCATTTTTCTTATAACTTTTTTGTATTGATGATGACTACCGTAACCGAGTTCTAATTAGACTGTAGGTAACTGGGATTAAAGTGTTTCTGAGTAATAATGAATTAATATTGACTGTCACAAGAGTGTTAGATATAGAAATGGATAGATAAAAGTAGATAATGTATGGCACAGTTAGAGCAAGAGTTCACCAGATGACGGTGCATTTATCGTTTACAATTAGAGAAGGTTGTCCCGAAGGTCACTTGTTCACAACGTACAAGAAATGAACTCATTTGTCTTATCACAGTCACCCTTGTGTGTGTGTGTGTGTGTGTGTCAGTGTGAGCGTGTTTGTGTCTCTAACCATATCATTATTACAATTCCTCTCTCTCTCTCTCTCTCTCTCTCTCTCTCTCTCTCTCTCTCTCTCTCAGTTTACCTCGGCTACGATGCTCCACTCGGCTACATCCAGCGTGAAGACATATCCATACACACACGGCTTGGTGCCTTTGCCGTGGTGCTGTGGGTCACTGTACATCCGACAGCGAGAGTACCCGACCCGAAGTACTCCTGACTGCCTCGGTCCTGCCATCAGAACTGCGGGTAGTGCCTCCTCCTCCTTCCACCCCTCCGGCAGCTGTTAAGGGCATGAAGAAAAGGTTAGGTTAGGTTGGAATGGGACGTTTTGGGGTACATTAGGTTGGATCGGGTTAATATTTACGTATATTAGGTCATAAAAAATAAACATAGAAACCTGTACAATAAAAGCTACTCCCAGATGAACTCTCCGTCCCAGGTTCAGTTAACTGCTCTCCTGATAGCCAAAATATTTTTCAGCAACATTTTTTTATTATTATTCTTTTTCTTGTATACAACCTCGACCCCTAACTTGTTTGCATCGAGCCCAAGAACGAGAAAAATAACAACCCTGTTTTAGTGAGTTTCGTGAGTGTGTATGGTACCAAATAGCAATTACTTTCCCAAAAAAAAAAATAAAGAAATCTAGGCTCTTGCAATAGGAAACGGCTTTTTGTGTGTAGTTCCCGGGAAGATGAAGATTGACGTAGAGGAAAACACTCAAACTAGGAGTGAGGGTAGTGGTGGTGGTGTTTTCCTGAGGCTGGTGGATGCCGTTCTGAGACTTGTAATTCCTTAGGTTTTAGGTATCAGATTAATTTTTTTTCTTTTTTGGTCTATAAAAAAGTTGTAGAAAGTTGTGAATTATAACATTGATACAACATGACGATAGTTATTGAAAGGTAAATAGGATATAAAGAAAACCTATTGATTTTTTCCTTTGTTGATATTGTTATTTAGTTTAGTCTCCCACATCACCAGTTACTCATGAGTTCCTTCACATCACCAGTCACTCACAAGTTCACTCACCAAAGACAAAAACAAGGTAGTGTTAGGCAAGACAATATTCTTTAAAAAACCTAAAAAAAAAAAAAACTACCCTAATATTTTTTTCTTGGATCAAAGCAACTAATTAATTTTCCCTTCGTTTTATCTTCCCAGGATGAACAAGATTATCCCCCCTTTACCTCCTTACAATAACACGGGGGAAAAAAAAAACCCCACACATCAGGTGACGTCAGTAGGCATAGAGAGACCCTACGTGATGAAGACTTCACCTCATCTCTCACACATAGAACAGACAACGAACTCATTATAACCAAGGTCCCAAGGTAGTTAGTCTTAGCGTTAAGTTTTATGAAAGAAAAAAAAAATATTCGAAGAGAAATTCACGCCCCAAAAGACTGATCCTAGATTAAAGGTAGTTGAGAGTTAATGAGGGGAGGTTACCTGTTTATAGAAGATGAATTTACCTTAATGAGATATTCGGGTGGTCTTAGGTTAGGTTAGGATAGGTTAGGTTAGGATAGGTTAGGATAGGTTAGGTTAGGTTAGGATAGGTTAGGTTAGGATAGATTAGGATAGGTTAGGTTAGGCTAATGAGTGATCGTGTATATTATTTTATCCTCCCTCATTCTCTCCCCCACACAATGTCTCTCACTTACTCTCTCCCTCACCACCTGCTTCCCTCGTTCTCTCCCCTACTCTCTCACTCTCTCCCTCCTTCACCTTCCCTACCTCCTCCCTCGTTCTCTATCTCCTTACCCTTCCTCCCGCCATCGTCCATGACACCTACCCCCACCACCACTACCCCACCACTATCACCTCACACCCCACCACTACCAACCACTACTACCACCACCACCACCACCTACCCCCCACTACCACCCCCACCACTACCACCCACCACTACCACCACCACTACCCACACCACTACCACCATCACTACTACCCCCACCACTACCCACATTACTACAACCACCACTACCACCACCACTACTACCACCACCACTACCCCAACTACTACCCACACCACTACCACACCACTACCACCCCCACTACCACCATCACTACTTCCCCCACCACCATTACCACCTTTCACCTGACTGCTCTAATAATTCCCTCATATCCAGTAAAATAACCCATAATAATCAAGGTTTAAACGACATTATTGGGGACAGGCGATAATTTACATGTCAAAATACGACTTGAATTTCAAATTGCTTAAAGTTGGAAGCGAAAGTAACCCAAGATAATATTGTTTTTCTTCCCCTTTTGAGTTTACAACATAACTGAGTCTCCTTGTGATCATAGGTAAATGTGAGGTCATTAGTGTTAGAGAATATTGAAGATTAATTATACCTGTTTCATGTGTAGATTCCTTTGCACATTAAATATATGGTTATTTAGGTGAAATTATAAAACAAAATCACTAAATACTTAGATACAGAGAGGAAGAATTTGAGATATAAGAAAGTATAGGAGAGAAACTGATAATAATTGAATATAAATAATGGTGAAAATAAATTAATTATATGTGATAGAGACGATGAATAATAATAATGAGTTTCATCTAAACTTGATTCTTTGCTTAACCTTTGATGTGAGATTTTTCATTGAATTAATCAGATGCAAATTGATGAATCTTCAGTTTATTTGTTAATTATAACAGACAGACAGAGACAAAACGCAGACAGACAGACAGACACACACCCAGAAGACAGATTGACAGACAGACAAAACGCAGACAGACAGACAGAGACACAAACAGTAACTTTAACTAACCTTACAGTGGTGAGGTGGTGTGGCGAGGTAGTAGTTGTGGAGGTGGTGGTTAAGGGCGACATACATAAAGCAGGATGACAGCAGAAGAAACACTAAGAACTGGTACCTGCTGCCCAGACGCTCCAGCAGGCCGTCAACACTCACCACCATCCTCACACCTGGAGAGTCAAGCAGGTAGGTTAGGTTAGGTCCTATAAATCCCCCAAGTTATCCTATCCTAACCTAACCTAACCTAACTACAAAGGAAATAATATAATGTAATCTGTCAGGTTATATGAGGCGTTTAGCTGCCACCACGCTTTCCACGCCCTACATGTATCATTCACTCCTCTCTAAGTGTCAATTACGTCTCTTATATGTCACCCACGCCTTTTTATTCACCACCCACGCTTTCTACTCACCACCCAAACCTTCTGTTCACCATCCACTCCTATCTGCCCCCACGCCTTCTACCTGCCCCCACGCCTTTGACTCACCATACACGCATTCCAGTTGCCACCAACGTCGAGTGTGTCTCCTAACGCCTTCTCACACACCTCACACCACTCAGCCCCTCAAGCACCGCCCACATCCTCTACTTACCGACTAATGAGAAAGTGGGAGAGGGAGAGACAGAGGGAGGGAGGGAGGGAGGGAGGGAGGGAGGGAGGGGAGGAGGGAGGAGGGAGGGAGGGAGGAGGAGAGACGGAGGAGGGAGGGATAGAGGAGGGAGGGAGGGATGGAGAGAGGGAGGGATAGAGGGAGGAATACTGACTGACTGTATGAACAACATTAGCGTCGTAACTGTTTGAGTCGCGACTGGTTCATCTCACTGTTCATAAATAAACTACAATTAAACACAAATAGAAACTAACATTAAAATATTATAACAAATTATAACAATTTATATACCCTCGAGGAGGTCAGTCTCAATGGAGGACCTTTTTTTTATACTCTGGAGAAGAAACTTCTCCTTCAGGAACTGTGGACGAGCGGTAGTAACCATCGCCTGTGTGTTGGAGTGACGCTGCCTCGTAAGACTTCCTCCCTCCAACCCCGTGTTTGGTCGTCAAGGGAACCAGACAGTCATCACACACTGGCTGGGTTGTTAGGTCATCAGGTGGCTGTGTGTGTCAGTCTGGAGCGAGAGGTTATGGCAAGTCTGGTCAGGGTTTACACCTACCCCCGTGGCGTCCATTGTAGCATCGAGGAGGGAAGGGAGGGAGTGAGGAAGGAGTAGGTAAGGGAGAGTACGGAAGAAGGGAGAGATGGAGGCTGAGAAGGAAGGGAGATTATGTGTATGTGTGTGTGTGTGTGTGTTTTCTCTGGTTCTCATTCGTCATAACCTAACCTAACCAAACACATCCTTGTATTTTCGTGTCAGTTAGTGTAGTTCAGTAAACACCCCAAAACACTCGACTATTTTTCGCTGTGATGTGAGACCTGTACACAACACACCTGTAGATAATTCTTGAAAGTGGCGCGGTTTCTTGGGCCAGCTAATGGAATCTAATCGGCAAGAGCGGCATTACTGTTCAGGGGAGACCAAAGCATTATGTCTCATGCAGCCAAACATGAGGTTATATTATTTCAAGAGCAAGTAAGGAGCCAGTATGGAGTCAGTGAAGGGGATTATATCAGGATCTTTATTCGTTGGTTTGAGTAAAATGTTTGGCAATAGATATATTTAGTAATGATATAATGTAATAACGTAATATAATAAGGTAAAATAGACAGGGATTTTATATCGTTATTTTATCTGTCGAGAGAATTTTGTTTGTTTTTGTATTTTATTTCCTTCCCACAAATTCTCTTCCAACTCTTCCATCCCACACACACATAGTATACCCCCCATTTATCTCGTTGTGTCCAGGTAATTCAACCACCGTAACGAGCCTAGATGAGCAATTAGGAGCTTAATTCACTCTCCTCTCTGGGAATAATCAAGCACATAATAATGGGTCCACAGGGAAGAGTTACCTGGGCGGGAGAAGAGAATTTAGTGGTAAGAAAAGATGACTAATAAGGTGCTGCCAGGTGAGGGTTACTGTGTGTGAGAGAGAGAGAGATCCTCCTCCTCCTTACTCCCCCTATGCCACCGCCTCCTCCAGTCGTCTTCTTGTTCCTCCTCTCTTCCTTCTTTCCTTCCTCCCTCAATCGTCTTCTTCCCTCAGTCCTCCTCTCTCACTCCTCCTCTTCCTCCCTCTAGAGAAAAATTGACCTTGATGACATCATAAAGGTCAACACGTCTATCTTGACTTGTTCCTCGTTCGTTCCCGACAGGTCACGATAGCTGTGGCGACCTGCCCTCTCGTTAACCGTAATGACCGCCCTCTCAATCACACACACACACGACAAAAAGGGATAATGGGCATCTACTCAGGTCATAAATCGAGCTTCTCCAGTGACAAAGATCCTGTCTCTGGAACACTTGGGAAACTCATCACAGGAAAACGGGGGAAACATTATACAAGAAAATGACATTATTGTATTTCCCGATGTTGAACGTTTAGGGAAATCACACTGGGTTAGGTCAGGTTAGGTTAGGTTTGTTTGATTAGGAATGAAATGAGGAACTGTTGTCGTTACCTTGATGTCGTCAGCGTCGTAATTGCTGTTTGTACGTTTCGCGGTACTTACGGGACACACACACACATGAACCTATCGCCACCACTATCACAACCACCAGTCACGCATACCATTAACAGCAGCAGTAGAGTCAGCAAAAACAGCAGTATAGTCAGTAACAGCAGCAGTAGAGTCAGTAACAGTAGAGTCAGTAACAGTAGAGTCAGTAGCAGCAGTATCGGGTCGGAAGTCATCGAGTGTTACCAGCTGGAGCGAACGGTGCTTAGTGCAAGTGTGGGCGGAGTCGGGTGCAAGTCCATTCCACCCCATCCACACCCACGCCCATCCTTGTTCAGGTTCATACTCGTTTCCTGCACGCATCTACGCCCACCTACACCCGGTCTTACGCGCGTCTCTGGCCAGTCATGCGTATCTCCCCACCCATCTTGGATGATATTCGTAACAGTTGTCTTTTACACACACACACACACACACACACACACACACACACACACACACACCTAACCTACAGCAACTCACCTTAATCACTTCTGGAACAGCCAATTCATACCACACTAAAGGATATTTATGATCCTCTTTGTCTCCACCACGTCTTGACCTTTTAATTCTCACTCAGTGTTCAGTAAGTCATCAGTCATTACTCACATTATCATACGTCCTTACAATGTTCACTTGTGTTTGAATCAATTAAACTTTCAATTTATCATACAAGTTTATTTTTATTAAAGTTTCAGATTATTTCCTTAATCACGATAATAAGAAAATAATTCCTTAAAGTCGTTCTTGATTTATCACCGATTATAATTACGGATTATTTTCAGATCACATCCACAAAGTAGAATTATTCACAATTTCTCTCTCTGTTTACTTTTAGAACACAAACTAGAACTCATAACCGACGGTAGTATTGTACAGGCGACGGAGCTCCAACCTACAATGAACGGGCTGACTGTTATGATTGACACTACGTATAGAAATTTGTGGGCGTAGGCGGCGAGGGTGGTGGGGGGGTGAAGCGGCGTGAAGGGAGGAGGGAAGGAGAGGGGGGGGAGTAAGGGTGTGAGGAGATGATAAAGAGGAAGGAATGTGAGGTAAAGCGTAATATGAGGGTGAGGGAGTGAGGGAGTGTTGTGAGATGGGGTGTATGAGTGAGGAAGGTGTTAAAGGGGTGGGAGGGGGAGTTAAGTGACCTACCCAGTTTTAGGTTCATGGAAGGTGTTGAAAATAGCCTCTGTCCTGATCGATGTAGATGTTAGGCAGCTACTATCATGAAGAAGTACTCATGAGACAGCTGATATAGTAATCGTGGGATAATTGACAACAGGGAATCGTAAATGCAAAGCGTACTTCTGTAACTACCAAATGTATTCCAGTATTGATGTTCCTTTATATGTGTACACTGTATAGGAACCATGGGGAGGAGGGAGGGAAGTGGAGGGAAGTGGAGGGAAGTGGAGGGAATCATGGGGAACGAGGCGTGGAGAGGAGACTTATGGAGGGCGTGGCAAGCAGCGTCCCTCAGAGCGAGTTTACTACCGTCTCACACCTACGCTTCCTCTCATGCAAGGAACCACGCGCCAACCCACCCGTGCACGTGCCAACCCAACCCATCCGTGCACGCGCCAGCCCACCCGTGCTAAGCCATTCGAGCACGTGTTATGAATACGAGCACGTGCTAAGCCATCTGAGCACGTGTTATGGATACAGGTACGTTCTGTGACACCCGCTACAATGCCACTGCACACGCCAAGTTATTTTATACAGTCTCTGAGTCTGTTTGTGCACTCGACGGTATAATGTGCACTCGTTCTTCATACTCGCCTGTCTATGTGCACGCGCCTGTCTACCCGTACACGCTTCTGTCTGCTTGTACCGTCACATGATTCATAAACAGATAAAGGGACCATTCTCCACGAACCTTCACTAATTTACCTGTCCACTTGTTAATCTACCTGTACACACGCCAGTCTTCATGTACACACGCCAGTCTACATGTACACACGCCAATCTACATGTACACACGCCAATCTACATGTACACACGCCAAAACCTAAACACACACGGACTCTAGTTATTCTGCCTTGACAAATGAGCCACCTACTTGTGCAGCCGCCAATCGATAATTATTCACGAGTGTTTCACCACACCCGTTAATACACATCATTCCTACGGTCATGGCCTGGTTGCGGTGCTCACTTATCATACAACCGTCAACTAATCCTGCTATCGTATCCACATCCTCCAAAAGGCACTCGGTATATGGATCCACTTTGAATCCACTCTGATCCTCTGTTAGTCTGAGTCGAAGTTACTCTACCATCCTCACCATCTCCGACTGCTCGACACCACACCCACCATCCAACCACGTACTGATCGCTATAACAACAACCCCATAACAACCATTGTAAAGAAATCCTCACCATCATCATCATCACGTGCGTCAAACACCTGATGAAAAATGCTGATCTTAATTGTTACTGAATGTGAACGCAACTTTCTCAGTAATAAGGTGAAATTTAGACTAATATTAAAACGAACTTTCACTGAACTTTCTGATTATTGATAACCTATGGGATAATTTATCATAGCAAAGAAACACAGCTGCCAATATTAACATGAATGGATGAGCTATTCCATCACTATTTATATTTGCTACCATTACTAACACTACTACCACCAATACCATCACCACTACTACCACCATCACTACTACTGCCACCATCACTACTATCACCACGATCACTATCACCACCGCTACTAATACAGCCACTGTCATTACCATCACCACATCATTGTCATTGAAACTCTATTTACAATTACCACCAAAACAACCACTATCTTCATCACCACAAAACCATCAAATATACCTCTACCAACACTACCACCAATACTACAATCTCAACCAATATAACCACCACCACCACTACACCACATTGAACCACTACTATCGACAGCTCTAAGTTTTCAAGAAGAACTAAAATTAATACAGAATGTTAGGATAAATTATACGTGTTCGGATCTATTCTACAGTTACAATAAAATTATATAAGCTCTAGGTAACGACAGGTAACGCTACAGAAATATTTAAAAAAGTTACCCATAAACCCGTTTTCTCTTACTCATTATAAGAGAAAACTAAATTATGGGATAACTTTAATAAACAATTTATCTAACGTTATCTGTCGCATATAAAATAAAAACAGGATAATCTATATAAATTTTGCTGCAACTGTGGATTATATATATATATATATATATATATATATATATATATATATATATATATATATATATATATATATATATATATAATATATATATATTATATATATAATATATATAATATATATAATATATATAGTATATATATAATATATATATAATATATATAATATATATAGTATACATATATTATATATATATTATATATATAATATATATATAATATATATATATAAAATATATAATATATATATAATATATATAATATATATATTATATATATATAATATATATAATATATATATTATATATATATATATATATATATATATATATATATATATATATATATATATATATATATATATATATATATATATATATATATTATATATATATATATATATATATATATATATATATATATATATATATATATATATATATATATATATATATATAATATATATATATAAATATAATGGTAGTAAGAGAAGTAGGGTAGTAGGTGTAATAGTGCTACTGTGGTTGTAGTGGTGAGATGATGATGATGGTGGTGGTGGTTGTAGTGGTGGTGATAGTGGTGGTAATGGTGGTAATAGTGGCAGTTGTGGTGGTAGTTGTGGTGGTAGTGGTAATAGTGGTACTGGTGGTTGTGGTGATAGTGGTGGTGATGATGGTACTGGTGGTAATAGTGGTAGTTGTGGTGGTAGTAGTAATAGTGGTACTGGTGGTTGTAGTGATGGTGGTGGTAGTGGTGGAGCAGGCACCAGTGGCAACCCGAGGTGTTTGGAATAAGGCTCATGGCAACGGCCGAGCCACACAACACACATTCGTCGATACAGCCAAGGAAACCCGTCGTAGTACCTTCTGTCCCAGGTAATTACACCATATAGGCAGTGAAGCTAATCGGCGAGTCTCGTCTAGGCATCTTTCTTTCCTCCGAGTGTTTGTGGGAGTTGTGTGTCTATGGAGGTATAGAATTGTTTGTGTTTTGTGGTCGTTCTGTGTAAGGCAACTCATTCACCTGTGTTGAGGACTGCCAGCGTGAATCACGACATACCGTCTTATGCTATCATATATTTTTGTGTATTTCAAAATTATGGGAAAGTTTTATACTCAAGAATTTTTTGTACGTATACTTTAATTACTTATAATTCAATAACAAATGAGTGAAATTAATGGCCCAGAAACTTTACTTTGAGCTTCATTATAGAAAACGAATCATAGTTGCGATTGGTCAGATTTATCCACGTTGTCCTAATAAACAAAAACAGTTGCCACTAACCATTAGTCCACGGATTTTCTGTCGATCATAACGCACAATACTCCACTGGCATTAGGACACGACGAACACAATTATTATCTCTCCCTACCCTCAAAAAAATTATCTAAGAATATCAAATACGGATTAATAGACATGAAAACAGAACTGGGGAGAAGTGGAGGTATTCCGGGGGGGGGGAGACGGGAGGGTGAGCGGCGGTGTGAACGTCAGTATAGCCCGTGGCGGTGGACGCATATCACTAGACCGATCAGTGTCACCACCTCTGAGTACAGTATGTAGTTCTCCTGTAGCACCTTCAGTAAGGGGTGAGTACTGAGGCATTTAATTTATATCCCTCAAAGGCATCTTTATAACATTTTTCATTCTTTGGGATTAAGTAGGTTAGGTTAGGTTAGGTTAGGTAAGCCCCTTAACTTCCCATCCCTCTGATCCTCCCCTACCCCTTAACCTCCCCTACCCCTTAACCTCCCCTCCCCCTTAACCTCCCCTCCCCCTTAACCTCCCCTCCCCCTTAACCTCCCCTTCCCCTTAACCTCCCCTCCACTGCAAGGAGGGAAGGGACCCGACACACAGCAATCGACTTTATTAACCAAGAAAAGATTATATCTCTTAACAATGGCCCCCTCTCACACGTACCGGGATCTCACACGTACCGGGAACCCCTCTCACACGTACCAGGAACCCCCTCTCACGTACCAGGAACCCTTCTCACGTACCCCCTCCTCACACGTAACCACTCAAAGACCCCTCTCACGTACCAGAACCCCTCTCACACGTACCGGAACCCCTCTCCACACGTACCAGAACCCCTCTCACACGTGCCGGGAACCCCCTCTCACACGTGCCGGGAATCCCCTCTCACACGTACCGGGAATCCCCTCTCACACGTACCGAGAATCCCCTCTCACACCTACCGGGAACCCCATCTCACACGTACCGGGGGTAGGGAGGCTTCCTGCTCTGTAAGTGATGATGGCACTAATTGATGGCACTAATTGATGGCACTGAATGATATAGCAAAAAGATTAAAAGTATAGGTAGATTAGACAAATTCACAGCTCTTAGTAACCCCCCGATCGATATTGGTGACGAGGCAAACACACGAGAGCGGAGGTGTAGTAAATTGACTCGCTAACCTACTGGGAGAGGGAGAGAGAGAGAGAGAGAGAGAGAGAGAGAGAGAGAGAGAGAGAGAGAGAGTCATCCTTGTTGACGTGTTCTAGGTTACCGTCACAACATGAAGCATTCGAGAAACAGGTACTGCCTTTTATGATTAGTTAAGAATCGTTTATTATAAGTTGTATTAAATGGATCTCAGTACCTAACCTAACCTAAACAGACGAATATTATGATACAGTAAGTTTTAAGTGGTGATATTTTAGTGTGCGTGGTGGTGATGCGTAGAGGGGGCTTAGGGCTGCCTTGAGCTTCGTCTTGTCTCGTAAGTTTTCCTCGTTGTGTTCGTAGTGGTGGCCTGAGGAAGTCCCCGACCATGTAGAGATCACAAGGTACACTATATATATCTAGTTATTAAGCCTCACAAATGAACGTTTTATAAGTAATAATTCCACAACGCGTTCTGACTGAGGTGTACTTTGTGAGTGGTGATTCAAATGCCGTTTAAGTATTTCACAGTGTAGTTTACGTAATATGGCATGGTGTTTGTGGTGTGCTCATGGTAACCTTTGTGGCAGGAATAGTCACCTAAGTGTGTGTGTGTGTGTGTGTGTGTGTGTGTGTGTGTACGGTCTTTTCCCGTACAGTTATATACTCACGAAGTCTCAGTGGGTCACATACCACCAGCACTTGGCGCGTTGGCGTGATATTATAGCCACTTAACTGCCACCAGCCTACGACTTTAGCAACGCTGCTGAATTATTTATTGAAAGGGTACTGGCGTTTTCGGGTGGTGATCTAGTTGTTGGTAACACTACTCTGACTGGTGTTGTGACGGACGCTTGTGACGGAGGATAGTGTGTGACGGTGAGGAGAGAGAGAGAGAGAGAGAGACAACAACAATACAAAAATAATAATAGAAAACAGAGAAGGAAGGACCAAGAGTTATCAAGGTATAGCGTGCACACGAGCATATGATCTCCATGAGGACCAACAGCACCACACAGGGAAGGTCGAGGAGTGTATCGAGAGCTCGTGTCAGGTGTGGTCCAGGTGCGTGCAAGACTCATTAATTTGTGGTTTTATGGGAACACCTTGTTATAGAGACGTTTTGGAATTGGTAATATATTTTTTTAGTTATAATTGATTGTCTAATTAGGTGGAGATCAATTAACGACAGGTGCTTTAATATATGGTTAAGTGCTTGTTTGTAATTGGTGGATTTAATTGGTGAAAGTTTAGAGGTCTAATTGGTGTATTTCTTTTCTAATTTGTGAAGGTGTTTAGGTAATTATTTGACGTGTTATCTGGTAATTACAGGTTAAAATCTTAAATTATTTTGACACGTGAAAAACTTTGTATAAATATCCTATATAAGTAATCGTAATTGGAATTATAATCAATATTTTTTCCAATTCGTGAAGTCGTAGAAGTAGATTAATTAATACTTTCTTGCAATTGGATATTTAATTTCATATTTTTTTTGTTCATGGTAAAAATATTTGGATTTGTTATCGCTCGTTCACTAATTATATTTCATGTGACCTTGGCTAGGCTCTTAGACGCATGCGGTAGGAGTATTTAAGGAGCGTGGGTGACTAAAATAGACTTTGAATTAGGGCTTAACTAGTCAGATTTCTCCTAGAGTTGTGAGATGATTGATGGAACTTGATTACAATTACTTAACAAGTCTGTTTGACCTTGTGAAGAAGATGAACTATTCCAGAACTCGACTGGTGGGGGGTGAGGTGAATAACATGGGAGGGTGAGGTGAGGATTGGGGGGCAGGTGGGGTACATGTATGAGGGGCGAGACCAGGAGGTGAGGGACTATGGGGGTGAGGTGAGGTATTGGGGGGTGAGGTGACAGACCAGGGGAGCGAGTTGAGGGACAGTGGAGGGATGAGGGGAGGTATTGGGGGGTGAGGTGAGAGACTATAGGGGTGAGGTGAGGAACCGGGGGTATATTATGATGGTTTTAGTTTACAGTAGCTACTAATGTATGTATGCATGTTGTTACGGGTCGCGAATGGGATAAGCTGACGGAGTCGCCCCTTGTGAGCATGTATGATTATGCGGCGAATATCCTGACTTGGGTCCAACGATTGACAACCGTAACAAAGTTAACTGGTCACAGAAGTTCACAACACTTCCACAACAAACACAGGACCCGAATAGATAACCCTCTCCTCAGGTGACAGTAAAGGGGCAATAAAATTATGTCATTTACTAACAACAAAACACAAAGAAATATAAACACGGTGCACATAGAATAATAAGAACCTAACTCCTAACACACAAAATAATCAACTAAATCCTAACCAAACCTACGAACAAATCTAACCTAAACAACATACGGGAAAAGGGGAACACAATGGCGGGAAGTGGGAACGTGGAATTGTACTTAAGGTCTGATGGTCCCGAGATAGCAGAGGAGGTCCAGCCGTCCTGGTCCTCGTGAGAAGTAAGTCAAGTTGTACTGCACATATCCCAGAGGAGTAGTCCAGCCTTGGGAATAGGAGTAACCAGACAGGGCACTAGCTGAAGGTGTACTCCCTGCACTCGGGCAGGAGAAGTCGTTTAGGCTCTGGTATAAGACTATTGAGTAGGTAAAGCAACTGAGAACCGTAGTCTAGGTAGGAGGTGAAACTGCAAGTATGGGCACAAAAGTGACGAATCACCCTCCTAGATGGCGTGGAGAGGTTGGTTGACGGGGCAGTTACCAGACGAAGTAACGAGACTACGGCCCGATGAAGGTCGGGTCGTAACAATGTACAGTATGTATGTATGTATGTATGTACGTAAGTATGTATGTATGTAAATATATATATATATATATATATATATATATATATATATATATATATATATATATATATATATATATATATATATATATATATATATATATATATATCATTACGTTAGTTTATCTTGAAGTAGATAACCCGTTTAAGTTATTACGACACCACGTGAACTAGAGTCAAAACAATCAACAAATTTCAATTTTCTTGGAACTATAAATGACTCAACCTAATCCTCTTTGACTTCCTGTTTGGAACTATTGCGAAAATAATGTTTTTGTTCCACCATTGTCAGTAACTTTGGAAATGTTAAATGAAAGAAAGACACGAGGCTGGTATATAAGACGAGTGATATAAACTGTACAGAGGGAAACACTATAATGCCCCACAGAACCACAAACGAAGCTTAAAATATACTTTTAAATGAAACTTTTCCAATTATTCCCTTAATAGTATCTGTCTTTTGTTAGAACTTTGTTAGTTTTTCATAATAAAAGTTTTAAATAAAGATCATTTTTGTAATTATCTTTTGTATAATGCGTGTGTGCGTGCAAGGATATACGATCGTGTGTGTACGTGTGTGCATATATGTTCGTGTGTGTATATGTGTTTACGAGTATATATTGAATAAGATGTAATACCTGTACACACACACACACACACACACACACACACACACACACTGCTATATATAAACCTTCTTAAAGTAAAGTCAGACCAATCCGACAAGGTCTCACATCTTTCCTGTTGTGGCAACACTGAGACTGTTGTTGTGGTGGTGACGTTGGCAACAGTGACGTGTGAGAAGTTGAAGGTTAGACTTAATGAAAAATATTTAAAACATAACCACAATTACAGTTATAAAGACGCTGCGTATGTTATCAAATGTTATCAATGTTATCAATGTTATTATTTATTGATGGTGTTTATTTCATTATCTAATTGATTAGTTACGTTAATTCTTGTTAATTCGTTGAGATTATTTTGGATAAGTGTAAATTCTCCTCCACCTCCCCTACCAATCCTTTCTGTAACCTAACCAAAACTAACCTAACCAAAACTAACCTAACCAAAACTAACCTAACCAAAACTAACCTAACCAAAACTAACCTAACCAAAACTAACCTAATTTAACACTTGGTTACCTCATTACAGGCGGAGAAGATGACGTCCGCAAGTGGCACTGTCATCGTGTTCTTGGTGACGCTTGTCTGTGTGTCCCAAGCCGTAGGTACGGTAAAATGATGTCGTAATGATGTAGTTTTGATATAGTAATGATGTGGTTATGACGTGGTAATGATGCGGTTATGAAGTAGGTGTGAGGTGAGATAAAGAGATGCACCTTCCTCTCTGACAGATATTGACGGGGCATGGAGTGATTGGTCAGTAATCAGGACGCCATGCACCAAGTCATGCAACAGAGGCTCATCTACAAGAGTCAGGTCATGCACCAACCCACGACCATCAGGCAGTGGCATACTGTGTACCAAAATGGACGGTAGACTGGCACTCAACGGCATTGATTACAAATTGGAGCCTTGTAATGACCAGTCTTGTTGGAGTAAGTGAAGGTTTATCTTGTGTGTGTACCTATGAATATCTCAGTTAACCTCATCTTATTAAACTAACACTTAACAACGCATAAACTATCTCACCAACATTTCTCACTGTTCCTGGCAGTCGACCAGTGGACTGACTGGTCTAACTGCTCGAAAGTGTGTGGACGTGGGAAGGAGGTACGGAGAGCCTGGTGCGGGGTCGAGGTGTGTGCTGAAGACCAGGCACTAGAGGAGACAAGAGACTGCAACACCTGGAACAAGACGGAGTGTGACAGTAAGTTTAGTCTCGTGAAAATGTTAACGAGTTTCCACAGGTTAATTGAATCCCAGTAATAGCAGCGCCGGTGTTGATTTGGACCTGAAAGCATCGTATATTTACCATCCTACATCATATTCTCCCTCCTCCACCATATATCTCCTCCTTCACTATATTCTCCCTCCTCCACCACATGTAATAGGGGTAATTAGCACATAACTCCCATTTTTAGAAGAGAAAAAGGCTAGTCTGTATCCTAATGTTCTTCCTTCGGGGGGGCAGATAAGACTAGCCTCCGTGACCAACATCTGTGGAAGACACCTTAGCGGCTTCTTCTCTTCAGGATTAATAAAGTCTTAATTTTTACATTATTTTCTCCATAATGTAGTCCCAGCTAACCTCTTACCTCTGCTCCAGGTCCGTGTGAGGAACTGAAACAATCCTGCCCACAGTACGGGATATGTGACGATTTGTCGACAGATGAGGACCCGATAGCTGAGTGTGTGTGTACTATGGGGTACAAGATGAATAGCGCCAAGACTGCCTGTATACGTAAGTCTTCCATTGTATTCCTCTCCCCCATCTCGTCCCATGGTGAATAGCTCTTTGTTATTCACTAGTGTTAATGGACGTAAAAAAACAGTACTATACTGTATAAGTGAAGGCCTGTCATCCATAGCTTACAGAGATATAAACTAACCTCCCGAGTCTCTTTCTCTCGGGAAAAAAATCCTGCAAGACGATGAAGACTTAAAATTATTACTTGTTTTAATGTCCCGTCCAGGTCCGCCGCCCACGACCCCCACCCCACGGCCCATCCCTACACTGCCCCCAGCGCAGAAGGTTGTGGCTACGGTCATATCCAAGACCGCCTCTACCGTCATCATCATCTGCGTCAGCATCTGCCTCTGTATCTTCTTCGTTCTCCGCATCTTCACGCCAGATCGAGTCATTCAGATGAACATGGAAATTGCTCTCCTTATGGCCCACATCATGCTGATCTTCCCCTCCTCCATCACTGAACAACCGGTGAGTCTCGTTGAGGTGAAGAGAAACTAACATGTAGACGAGTCCTTTTGGGGTTTAACATTATGATTCATTCTCTTCATCAAGACAAAATTCCCGTTTAGAGAACTCACACATAACGCTGATCCTTACCATAGAACTCATAGCATTGATTATTAATATCACCATTGTCACGTTCTGTGCATCTAAGGGTCTTCATATTTCCAGACCTTATGTACTCTCGTCTCCATCTTGGTACACTTCTTCTTCACGGCCTGCTTCATGTTTATGTTCCTGGAGGCGCTGCACATGTACGCCTTCGTGGCCTACGTGATCAAGAAAGAAGGAATGTTCAGCCGGGTCCAGAACACTCTGGTGGGCTGGGGTATCGCTGCCATCATCATCCTCTTCTGCATGTGCTTTGAATATGAAAACTACGGCGGCTCCTACCAGTGAGTCCCCACCACAACTGATAGCGTCTCGGGGCGTTGTATCTTGTGCCACACTTTAGTACTAGTCTCCTAGTTCCTAGTATCTAACATTAAGCTCCTAGTTGCTCGTCCCAAAGTTCTAATGCCTAGTTTTAAGTACCTAGTGCCTAGTGCCTAGTATTCAGCTCTTAATGATTTAGTGTTGGGATCCTTCCTCTCTCTTTCTCTTTCCCCTAAACTTTCTCCCTCCCTCCTTCCTCCCCGCCCCGTCTCTCTCACCTGTGTTTATCTCTCACCAGCTGTTGGCTACAGATGGATACAGCTCTCATGTACGGCCAGCTGTTACCCATAGTCAGCCTCGTGATCCTAACCTTCACACTAATTGAAGCTGCTGGTGCTGCTGAGTACAAGCCTCTCAAAGGTAATGTGATGGTGACGTGTATGGTGACGTGTATGGTGACGTGTATGGTGACGTGTGTGGTAACGTGTGTGGTGACGTGTGTGGTGACGTATATGGTGACGTATATGGCGTGTATGGTGGCTTGTGTGAGAGAGAGAGAGAGAGAAATTAATAAACCTTTTTACCTTTTACAAAATCAACTAACTATTCTTTTCTGTCGCCCGTGTTGAAGGTGTGGACAAGAGCCAGTTGACGAGCGCTAAGTTCTCTCAAAGGACCAACCTACTTATCTTACCGCTGGTCTTCTCACACATGCTGGTGGGGATGTTCTCTGAGTATGAGCAGAATCTTCCTCTCTATGGTGTCTTCTCCATTCTTAACAGCGTAACGGGAGTAGTGGTCCTGTTCTTCCACTGTACAAACAACCAACAGGTGAGGGGGAGTTGTGAGGTACGAGGAGGAGGAAGAGGAAAAGCGGGATAAGGAGGAATAGAAGAAGAAGGAGACGAAACGGGATTTTTTCTTTTTTTAGGAATGGAAGACAGGAGGGAATGGATGAGGAAGTGGAGGCGGGGACTTAAGAGGAAGACAGAAGTGTGAAGGAGGAAAAAATGTTGGAGGGGCTGGAAAAGGAAGATTAATAAGGAATGGAAGATAAAAGAATGAGAATAGAGAGGAGGGCGAAGGAGACGGAAGAAGGGGAGGTGTAGGGTAGGGCTATAAAAGAGGAGGGAATAAGGAATAAAAGGAGAGATAAGGAAAATATAGAAGGAAATCTAGAGGGGTAGAATAACAATAATAATCTGTCCTTGACGTAAATGATAATGATTAGCGTAAGTGACATAATGTATTCCTGTACTTTAGTCTGAACACTGGTAAATGGCCAGTACTCAATCACATTTATTCCTTTTGGTACTGACGCTAATTTCCCCCTACAGGTACGGATGAAACTGAAAGGATTATACGCGAAAATGTGCAAAAGTTCCGGGGCTCGATAAGACCAAATAATAACAACAATATGAGGATGATATGTTGCACCACGTGTATAAGACAACAGGTTCCTTATACCTCAGGAGGATCAAAGGAGAATCTGATCACAAAAAACTTGCTACGGAACCTTTCGACTCCATCAAGAGCATCAATGCCTTCTCATAACACCGCGGCACAAGCAAGCAACTGATTCCCCACCTTAAACACAAGATCTTTACTACTTAGAGGTTTTAAATGATACAGATAGCCATAGTACTATAAAAATGGTTTTCTTTGTGACTAACACGAAATAATTTTAGCTGAAGAATATGTGGCTAGAGTTTAGCTACCAGAGTTACCTTTATTACCCCCTGTACATCAATATAGGAAGGGTGTTATCCAGTGTGACACTATCAAATTCGCAACTTTTCTCCGGGTACACCATTTTTTTTCCTATGCTCGACAATAAAGGTTATAGAAAAATAACACCGAACAAAACGGCTGCCCGAACGGTTAGTAAGTTTGGCTTTTGGGTTAACTCTCCCATACAGACGAGCTTTGTGGAATACAGCGATATGTTACCGACCCCCTTGACTATCGATCACAGTGATGGTAGGTAGTAAACAGATAAGCCAGACAGATATTGGTACTGTTTAGTGATCGATAACCATGGGGATCTTTTCCTCTGTTTGGTAATTCAAAATATTTTATCCTAGTTAGATATCATATAGTGTAACCATACACTATATTTATTTGGGTGGATCTGTAGTTGTAGATAAATGTATGTACTTATATAATCATTGATATTATATTAATTCAGTGTGATATTATTGACTGTGAAAGCGATATTGTCTCTTTAAGCTGACTTTTCAAATAACATTGACAACCATACCATCAGGTGACAGCTGGCGTTCCACACAATTTTGAAAAGTCAGTGCTTGAAATAGTATTGTTTTCTTTGATAGAGATGTATAGAAGAACGTGTTATATTTTGGAGAATCTAACCTATATTTCTATATCTCTTCTTACAAAACTTTTCGATTATATAATCACATTTGCACGACAGTATCAAACTAATATAAATTTTCATTGAGATAATATTCCTCTGTTTTCACCCTTGGAGTGTGACGCACCTAAAACAAAAACAAAAATTACCGCTTGTTTCCTGATTTTCAAGGTCTAAATACCACAAGTGCCTTAGGTTTGATCTTAGAAATTTGCGACCATAGAGTAAAATGGTCGCTTAATACTAATAATTGAGTTTATTTATGAAAGCTTGAACCCTGTAAGATAATAGTGAAAACCCATATCTTATTGTTTCATTAGATAATATAAAAGATAACATACGATGGTCAAGGTAGATAGAGACTGAAGCCAAGTTACTCCAAGTTCACATCTTTACCATAATGTGTAGTCCTTACCTGGGGAGTCATCTGTTGTGTTGAACTGTCTAATGAGGAGGTCGAGCTACAGCGATGACCAACACTTTCTTTATGGAGTTATGTAAAACACACACACGCACACACACACACACACACACACACACACACACACACACACACACACACACACACACACACACACACACACACACACACACGACATTAGTTATTGCTGAGAGTTGAGTTTATATATATAATATAATAACCAAGTAATAATCCTGTTGTTTTACCCTAAATGTTAAATATTATTAAATCCTGTTAAAAGTGTGTTTAGTGTTAAGTGCGTGAAGACCCATATATATATATATAAATAAATATTTACCAAAGATATGAAGAATAAATAATATATATCTAATCTTATCCTATATATAACAAGATATTTAAATAGTTTATATATAGACATTATTCTTAAGGCTATATGTTAATTTATTGTAAGGTATTACTTGTGATAATAAGACACTAAGAATGACAACAAGTGCATTTGGCTGGATTACTGAACAATAACTTCACCAATACTGAATAACATCACAAACCGTAAGATCTGGTGGAGATACAACTATTTCATGACTGTGTGTTTATCTGTGTGCATATAATACAAAGTATATGTATACTCTACGTATGTTATACATGTAGCTTACAAAATATAGCTTAACGGCTCTTCTTCGTTTACTTGTATCCTAACTATCAAGTCATTGTTCTGTTATCGTGGTTTAATAGGGGGGGGGGAGGGGCAGCTTGCGTGGTTATTGTTCGTGGTTCTTGAAATTATAAACACATTGCCTCAAAATAGCAATGCATTTCAAATTGGGTATGTGGAATTACCACATCAAGATTTCCAGCGTTTTTAAGCAATTTCTTTCATATGTTGTCTAGAGTCTTGAGCTTATCGAGTATCTGGGAACACGACGGGCGGCCTCACCACTCACCTTTCCTGCCAATTTATTTTCTCGCTGCAAGATTCCACATATAAGCTTAGGACGTTAATGTAAACCAGTGAGGATAATGCAGACGAGAACGTCATATTTTACAGCCTGAGTTGTAAGCTTCTGAGTACCTGTACATTCATTATTCTTCTATGAATCTGTTTAGTGAGGGACAAAGACGAGCTAGAACAATGATATTATCCCTACATTCTTACTTAGATGTTTATGTTATATTCTACGCAAAATCTTAGTACAAGTTTCGGGAGCAGAACGTTGAGAGAGATGGATAAAGTCCCAGTGGACATGAGAAACCTAATTCACAGAAATTTATATGAAACTTAAAAAACAAAACAACATCGAAAGTCAACTAACAGCGATATTCAATATTTATTCTTAACTTAATTCATCCACTAAACTTTAAATGTTAATAAGTTAGTATTTTAACTTCTCAATAAGGTTGTACATATAAACTGACACATCCATACAACACGTTAAATTCCATCTGTAGGCATGGAATCCTTTCAAAGACGAATGGATAGGCTTTGATGCACTTAGTTCTTCAAAGGATGTTTCCGACTGCCGTGTTTGATACCCGCTGTTGATTTGCTTGCGTGTCTGCAGGATACTCTAAGGACAAATAATGACATGATTACCTAACATGACGTGCAGTTTCATCCTGAGATATGAGGGTCACGCTATACTTCTGGGGTCAAAAGGTCAAGGTCATGGGGACACTTGCTGTATCCCATCTGGCGGAGTTCAGGTTGTGTTGTGTTGAGGAGTGAGTCAGGTGTATGATGATGGCCCGGCGGTCATCCTAGAAATTCCTTCACAGTTCAGTGTTTTTAAGGCAGATGGTCTTTCATATATAAAATCGGTGGAAAAATTAACATTATCTTACTTACTTTTAAATAATTTATAATAAAAAAGTTACGAACACACAAACAGGCACTATTGTTCGATCAGTCATCTCTTCACTCGGGAACGTTTCTTTACAGCCTCTCAAAATGTCTCGTGTCAATTTTCACTGCGTTGACAAAAAATATTTAAAAGGATTTTACAGCTTAACTAATTTTTAAAGCACCAACAGCGGAGTTTGTCGTTCATGTTCAAGTGTCGTTTTACATTACAGGTCCAAGGAACAGGCGAACTCTAGACACGTACGGTCATCCTCATACAGGTAAACACTCACTGGAGGATGAGCCTCTCTCTCACGACAATACTACTGACCTCCTACTCCAACCACCTCCACCTTATCACCTTTGTTTATGATGAGAGACACGAGACAACAACACAACGACCACAGTTCAGTTTTTCATCCCAATTAACGATCCGTTAGGTGGTGGTCACGTCTTGTACATAGGGTGCGGTGGCTGAGTGGCTATAGCGCTCGTCTCCTATCCTAAGCATCTTTTCGTTCGATCCCAGGGTGTTCATAGTTCACCCAGAGACAAAGTATTTCAGTTCGCGGGTACACAAGTCACTAAGGTGATGTGGTATAAGCATATATGGAATCACCTTGTTAATTATCTAACTCATTAATCTCACCTGCCACAGTAAGGAGGGGGAACGAGAGTGGTAAGGGATACTTTATTATGATATGTTAATATATAAGTAAAGGCGACAGGTGTTATGTTAATATATAAATAAAGGCAACACGTGTTATGTTATGTCAATATCTAAGCAAAGGCGACAGGTGTTATGTTAATATTTAAGTAAAGGCGACAGGTGTTATGTTATGTTAATAAATAAGTAAAGGCGACAGATGTTATGTTAATATATAAATAAAGGCAACACGTGTTATGTTATGTCAATATCTAAGCAAAGGCGACAGGTGTTATGTTAATATTTAAGTAAAGGCAACACGTGTTATGTTATGTCAATATCTAAGCAAAGGCGACAGGTGTTATGTTAATATTTAAGTAAAGGCGACAGGTGTTATCTTCAACACCAAGTAAGTTGTCAGGTTAATTACCTTTCACTCAAGTTGTATCAAGTTCCCCTCGAAAATAAAGAGGAAACTAAACAAACAACTTCCCAACACTAAAACATTCTAAAAGTTTTGCAGATGTTTCCAACGTTCGAGTTTATAGCCGTCTCACTCCACAGCTGTTTACAAAAGTTAAAATCCTGGAGTTCCTTCATCTCGCACACACACACTACACCATCACTTGTACATTTCCTCTCTACTTTGATTAAGAAACTCATACATTTTCCACACACACTCGGGAATAAGTTAGAATTACTGTGTCCATTTATTCTGGAGACGAAAGATATATATTATCACACAAATACAACATTACGATAGAATTATTCATGAAGGTAATTAAACTGACGCACCTGCCTAGACCATGACGCGTTAGCATACATACATACAATACATAGTGATATACAGGGGTAAATAATACATGATTTGTATATAACAGACGTAGAGAGAAGGTCATGTTATAGTGTATTTATGAAGCAATGTAGGAGTAATAATAGTTAGGTCAGGTTGGGGCCTACTAGAACTGGGGTCCAAATTACCAGTCAGCACAGGTTTTCATGTGGGTAAGTGGAGAGGGCGGTGAGAAGAGTGAACTACGTCACACCATTATTAAGTGTAAAGAACATATTGTACAACTAATGTATATACGAGGAAGATAACAGGTGACAAAAAATAATAATAGTTTTAAATAATATAATGCGTCACACTAAACTTCAAAGGAAAGAAAATTATTTTATATTTGCATGAAAAAAGTAAAAAAAAAAAAAAAATGGAGCGAGATAAATTCTATTATTTTTTTTGTAAAGCAATATTTCTGCCGCCACCAACGTTAATACTTTTCATAAAAAGTTTTAATATTTCATGAGAAAATATCTGTCCAGGAAGTAAAACGATCATACTAAAAAACTAAACAGTGTGTGTGTATACTTTGTGTGTATACAGGACTGTGGTGCATGTTACCTGTTCCTGAGTAATGTTTGTGTGTGTTATTACCTGTACTAGTGTGTGTACCTGTACTAGTGTGTGTACCTGTACTAGTGTGTGTACCTGTACTAGTGTGTGTACCTGTACAAAACAATTAGCTACAACCTGTTTTTGGTGAGATTAAGGCAAATTTAATTTAATAACTTAATCATGTAAGGTTTATCCATTTTCCTTAATAAGGTATTCATTTCTTTAATGTACATAAATATATAACTTTACTTTAAAAGGAATTGTAGGATCATCATTTAGATCCACATCAGATTATGAGCTTAAACAAAATTCATATGCTGAGATCGAACTTTTAGATATACATGTAAATGGTGTTTTCTAGTTAATATCTTGAATTCTTAATAAATTTATTTTTCTTTTGATTGAAACTTTGAAAGTCAAGCCTATCATCTTTTTGTAGTTCTTAAATATCGTCCAGATCATTAATAAAGCTGTAGCAGTATAGCCACGGTGTTTTACTTTTTACCTATGCAGGTTACAACATACAAATTACAATGAGGATGGTAGAAATAGTTGTTACAAATAGGCCAAGGAGTCGGAGTCGGAGTCGGAGTCGGAAGCATAAAAATTTGAGGAGTCGGAGTCGGAGTCGAAGGTTTTGTCTTCGACTCCACAGCCCTGGTACCTATACTGAAATTTTGAACAAAATCCATTTTTTAGCCGAAAATTACAAAAATTGTAAGTCTAAAGCCTTAAAGGATTTTTGGCCAAAAATACGTTTTCTCTGAACTAAAATTTAATGTGCCTAACTATTTAAGTACATCCAGAATAATACACAAGCACCAAGAAATGACCTCGAAAACCCATAAGTGGCGAGTAATTAGCATTTCAAAAGTAATTAAAATATTCTAAAAATCATTTGAACATTTTCTAAAAGCCATTTGAACAAGTTATAATCAAGATATCAAATTTTGGTTAACAGATCCTTAAGCAGCACATTCAGGAGTACCTACTAATAACTAACACCAAGGTGGGTGTTCCCCTCTCCTGCTCGCTTGTCAACACATACACACCATCTTCACTACACTACTTAGTCCACTTCACTCATTCTGATGCATGTGTCTGACTGCCTGAGGTCTGAGGGTTAATTGTAAGTAAAAACCGAATGAATTTCCTTAAATTATTGTTTTTTACCACGAAAGTCTCATATCATAACACATAAAACTGGTCACTCGAAATCATCACACCACGTCATACAAAATACAGACCAATCATAGAACATCATATTGGATACGTAACCTGACCAATCACACCACGTCATACTGAATACAGACCAATCATAGTACGTTAAACCCATAAATTCGTGGGTTTTGCTTTGATGTGTTCTCTCCCCCCCACCCTCGTTACCAGCAATATATTTCTCTCTATATTTTTCACTCTGCTGTACATGACATATAGTTCAGTACGTATACAGATAAATCAACAAGGATTTACTATCACTAAAATCCATGGTAAATATTATATGTCTGGCCTTGTTTTAATTCTCAGGAGGTAAACACAAAGGGTGGAGTTATCTTGGGTAATGACACCTAACGAGCAGCAGTTGTCGCTAATGATGATCACTATAGTCGTATAAACGGTGACACCAAAAACAACAGCGTCAACTTCCTTGTTTATGTTTTGTTATGTGGGCGATTTGTGGCTATTGTCGACACGTGTCCCCGGTAGACACTGGGCCCTGAAGATAGACACAGGGCCTGGTAGACACTGGGCCCTGAAGATAGACACAGGGCCTGGTAGACACAGGGCCTGGT